AAATCCCCCGTGAGGACTAAGGCATGTAGTCGCGAGGCTACTTCCAGTTGCCTGTAGAAAGCCTCATCAACTTCCTTCATCCTGATCAGGAGATCTATAATAGACCCCCACAACTGTATCACCCGTACCAGTCTGTCCCTTAATTCGTACCCACAGACATTCCACTTGCTCCTCATCTGGCCCAGGACAGAACTCAACACAATCCAGTTGCTCTCTCACATAAAGAGCAACTCCACCACCTTGCTTTGCTGACCTATCTTTCCTAAAAAGGACATAGCCATCCATGACCACATTCACAGTATCACAGGATCACAGTATGTTAGAGATTGGAAGGGACCTCAAAAGATCATCTAGTCCAATCCCCCTGCCAGAGCAGGAACACCTAGATAAGGTTACACAGGAACGTGTCCAGGCGGGTTTTGAATGTCTCCAAAGAAGGAGATTCCACAACCTCCCTGGGCAGCCTGTTCCAGTGTTCCGTCACCCTCACTGAGAAGAAGTTTCTTCTCAGGTTTAAGTGGAACCTCTTGTGCTCCAATTTGTACCCATTACCCCTTGTCCTTTCATTGTTTGCCACTGAGAAGAGCCTGGCTCCATCCTCGTGACACTCCCCCTTTATATATTTATATACACTAATAAGGTCACCCCTCAATCTCCTCTTCTCCAAACTATAGAGACCCAGCTCCCTCAGTCTTTCCTCATAAGGGAGATGCTCCACTCCCTTAATCATCTTAGTTGCCCTGCGCTGGACTCTCTCCAGCAGGTCCCTGTCCTTCTTAAACTGAGGGGCCCAGAACTGGACACAATATTCCAGATGAGGTCTCACCAGGGATGAGTAGAGGGGAAGGAGGACCTCCCTCGACCTACTAACCACCCCCCTTCTAATACAACCCAGGATGCCATTGGCCTTCTTGGCCACAAGGGCACAGTGTCGGCTCATGGTCACCCTGTCGTCCACCAGGACCCCCAGGTCCCTCTGCCCTACACTGCTGTCTAACAGGTCATTCCCCAGCCTATACTGGAACCTGGGGTTGTTCCTGCCCAGATGCAGGACTCTACACTTTCCCTTGTTATATTTCATCAAGTTATTCCCCGCCCAGCTCTCCAGCCTGTCCAGGTCCTTCTGGATGGCAGCACAGCCTTCTGGCGTGTCGGCCACCCCTCCCAGCTTAGTGTCATCAGCAAACTTGCTGATAGTACACTCAATTCCCTCATCTAAATCGTTGATGAATATATTAAATAATACTGGTCCCAGTACCGACCCTTGAGGCACTCCACTAGATACAGGCCTCCAACTAGACTCCGCCCCATAGACTACAACTCTCTGGCTTCTCTCCTTCAGCCAGTTCACAGTCCACCTCACTACCCGATCATCCAGACCACACTTCCTCAATTTAGCCGCAAGGATGCTGTGGGAGACCGTGTCAAACGCTTTCCAGTCATGTGAGCTGGCCCTTTCAAAAATTCCATGCTTGCCACACATTCTTTGCTTATAAAATAGCACCACACAGGAATAGCCACGAAAGGAAACCCAAAACATCCACCACCAAAACAAAACACAACCAAAAAAAAACCAACCCCACCAAAACACAAACACCACATTACAGTTGTTGCTTACATTCAGAAGTTAAGTTTCCCATTCATTTAAATGACATATTTTGGTACTACAACCAGTTGTGACCATTAAGCTCAGCTCATGGAAGAGGCAGAAAGAGAAGTTTACTTGCTGTTGTTAATAAGGCATTGCTCTGTGGTATTCTTTTGTAATGAAGTTACCTAACACAGAGCAGATAATATAAACAAAGTACCTTAACGTAAATGTGAAATACAAAATGTGAACAGGCCTGCTTTCATAATATTATTATACCTTTCCAAATATCATCTAGAACAGCATCTATCAAATATTTATATTGCATGCAGTAGAAAAAATGCATTCTTCATTACATGAAAGACTAAAATGTATAAACTATAAAAATAATTGGGAGAAAACTGAAATAGCAATCATAAAGCAGCTGGTATTACCATCACAGACTAAACCTGAAAACACATAAATGCATTTCCACCTTCCTCCAGGTCCTTACCTTTAGGAAATAAAGCAAAAGCAATTTCTGCCATAGACTAGCTGAAAAAGGATTGCATGTGCCAACCACCTTATCTGGGGCAAAACTATTTGCATGGCACAGTTTAAATAGTTAATCTGAGCTATATTTAGCTGATTTTTCTGAAGAGAATTAAATAAGTGTTTCAACTGTACTCACAGCAGAGCTGACAACATTGCTTGAGAAATAACCATTAGAAATCTCTTGCACCAACCCTTGACAAAAATACAAAAAACAAGCTTTCCTTCTGCAAAGTACAGTCTTCAGATGAATATGAAGCCTTGCAAAAGGAAAATGCTGAAAGACATATTAAAAGAGGAAAATTTCAGACATGGATTTTCATATGATAGGTCTTCTAATTCCTTTATGAAATTTCCATTATCTCCAAAGGGAGCCTTGGCATCCCTATCCAGGTAGAAGAATATTACATACACTGATTAAGAAAACTTATATGGACAATGAAGAATAAGTGTTAAGCCATATATTAAACTATGATATTTCCATATCATGATTTGAGAGCTCAAAACAGACTGGGAAAAAAAAAAATAATGAAAAAGCCATTTTTAAATACCCATCCAGTTTGATTCCTTATTCTTCCACGCTAACACCCATTATATCTTTCCCTGAATGTATTTTAATGGTCAGGATGAAAATGTTTTGTGTATATACAAAATAATTATATGTAACCCTGTAAAAACTACTACCAAACTTCATAATTCTTTATGATTTCTGTATATTTCAGCAACTCATCTTCTATACATTCAAGGTTTCAGAACATCAGAAAATCATATTGCACAGCTTCCCCAAAGGCGTATGGTAAAGCTAATTATATGTTTGTACACATTTTGCTGTACCTTCATAAAAATCACTTTTGGATATGACGGTTACAAGTTAAAAAAAGCCAACAGTTGACTTAGTCATCAGCTAAAATAAGTCATCTTGTGTTTATGTATGCACACCCTTAACAAAAGAGGAAATATCAAGAAACATCTACGGCTTCCACAAAAAATTAAGTTTTACCAAGTTTTCCCCCTTAGACATCTCCAAAATTAAAGTTGTATCTCCTCTAATTCTGAAACAAAAGCGACAATAACACAAAATAGCAAAATACACATGGTCCCTCAGTAAGTGAAACATTTTTATCCAGACAGTGGTCTAATTTCTGCCAATTCTTGCACGTGCTAATAGAGCACTATGCCACGAAAAAGAACTTACTGGTTTATTACACCTGACCACTGCCCCAAAGAGGCCTGTTTTACAGACAGAAATAATTTCTCTTTCAAAACCCAAAATAAAGTCTCCTTAAAGGTTTACATGAGATTTTTTTGAGCCAATTCCTATGAACTGCAGGCATCTTCAAGCATGGCAGATTAAAATACAAGCTGGGAACCTTCAGAGGACAAGGGTATTATCATGTAGACTACATGCTTCTTTGAACAATTACTTAGATGTTGCTATACATTAATGCACCTGTACCACTTTTAATACACAAGCACACTAATGTTCTAAGATCTAATTATGAATATGGTTATGCTACAAACATGTTGTAACTAGACTGAGTTAGAGAGCACATTAAGAACCTAACAGCTCAGCTGTCTGTTTTTCTTAAACACTTATGCAAGGTACAGTTGAATGTCAGCTTGACTGCAGTGACAGCTCTTTAGGGAAGTCAGTGCTCTAGACCTTACTGTTTTGGGGATGGAGAAGAAGAGCTGATGGCTACTCTATATACAAAGGCAAGCTTTACTCTTCCAAGGTGAATTTCACCACTTGTCAGATAGTTGGTACAAGTCCAATACATTATTTATATTCTAAATAAAGGCTATTTTGAGGCCTTAAGCCAAACTCATGAGTAGTGGTAAATTTCAGCTCAGAACCTAAAACAGACAAGCAACCAAAGCTTTTACAAAAAATTAAGTTACTTTACATAGTATCACAGCCATAAAAGTCACTTTAAAACAGCACTAGTTTATTTTAATTACACCATAGCACCAAGAAGTTAACCTGTGGATTCAGAGAATTAGAATATGCATGTGCCTTTATATCAAAGAAGTGAGCATTAGCAAACTAATGAAACACTGGCCTTCCAGTACACATTGCAAAATGCAGTATTAGCAAACTGAACTGACCCCTAGAAGTCAGAACATCACCTCTTATTTTACTAGTGTCCATCACAAATTACACTGCAAAACAGATTTCCCTTGACACTTCTTCGGTACACTGAGATACCTGATCTTTTTCTATTAAAAAAACCCTGAAACGAAGATAGCAATGGCTAGGCAAGGTACAAAGCCTATTGCTTTTCCCAGTGTTTAAATGGAAAGCATAATATAGGTAACTTAGCGCATTTGCCAACAGGGAAGAAACACAACTCTTTAACCACATCTAGTTACAATATCAAGTAACAGAAATACAGAGAAAATAACACTCAACATAGATGTCAAGAAATAGTTCAAGCCATGCCATTTGCCATATTTATACCTGTAGGTAGAAGTAGTTGTGATCCATCAAACACACTAGTGTCCTGAAAGCCATGCAGATCCAGATCCCACAATGACATTAGCATTCTTGTGGAAGCAAAACATATGTTACCAAGTCTGCTACTGTAACCCAGCAGTGCAGTCTTGGATATGATGTTCTCAAATCACATGTCCTTTTGAAATTCTTTATTTAGTAAAAGCTGCTACTGGTACCACTATGAGTCTCACCTGAGAAAGCAGGGAAATTTAACCCCAGGGCAAACATCCCCAAGGTCTTACCTCCTGTAGTCCTTGTTTTAGTATGTATGTAAATGACCTAATTCCTAGCCAGCGGTTTCAACTAAGTGACAATAAGAAGTCACTGACATGGACACTGGTTTCATGGAATGAATCTTTGAAACACTGACCAAACTACTCTTGCTAAAGTCAAAAAAAGTCTGAAATGCAACTGCTTTCATCTTTATCACCAGGTTGTATCCATACACACACACAGTGCCTATATTGACTCCATTGACTCTGTTTCTTCCTATTTTGTTTCCTTCTCTTAGCAAAGTAAGCACTCAGTCCTCTACTTCAGAAAAAATTCAACACATTCTCTTAGCAAAGTAAGCACTCAGTCCTGTACTTCAGAAAAAATTCAACACATTCACTAATGAGAATTTACAGGAAACACTACCCCCACCTCCAACCTTCAGAATTAATTTAATGGAAGCCAGTTATTAGGATATCAGTTTTATGTTTGAAAATAAAGTGCAAAATGATTGTCACTGAGAACTTTGCTGATTTCAGGTTAGCATAGTAAGAGTCAGTCCTCAGCAACATTAATAAAATACTAACTAAAACATAAATTAATAACATGAAGCAAACTCTGAAATAGCACACAAAAAGTAGGTTTTGTACAAATGGGAAAAAGAAAAGGAAAGTGAAATGGAATCCCTAGTCCTTTGTGAAACTGAGCCTATTATACAGCTATTCCAACATGCAGCATCTGGAATGAAGAATCGCAGTCCATTTGCTTCCCTTCTACCATTCCTGAATTCCGTTTGCAGCTGTCTGGTGTCTGACTGATTTCACCTTGGACAGGGGAAGATGTATCCTGAGGGAGATCTGTAAAGACAGTGTCAGATGAAGAATCTTGGCTTTCTGCTGGAACAGTGATTTGTAGCCATCTACCCTCTGTTTCATCATTGCAATTTGTCCCTTCCTCATCCTCTTCCAGCTGCTGAACAGATTCCAAATACTCTTGTATTAGTCTGTTGTCCTGCTCACCAGTAGAGCTCTCTTTACTTGCCCCACATTCCACATGGCCATGCTCCACACCTGACAAACATGCTGAAACAGAATTGCCACATTGTTTGACAGTGTCCACTGAAAGAGAGCTCTCAGTCCCTTCTGTTAAACTCTTTTCAGAGCTACACAAGTCACCAGTATGAGCCTGATCAGCTGCAGAAGAATGAAAACCAGAATCTGGGAATTGCAAAAAAGACTTTTCTTGAAGAACGTCATTAGCTGGAACTAACCAAGCAGAACTAACATTTGCTGGGGTTTCTTGCTGAAGTGTGGATGATTGAATAGATGGTTCAGAGGGACAGAAAATACTGGCTGACGGGATCCCAGGTTGCCAAGTGGCACCTAAATTTTGTGTCACTGAAAGCTGCCATTGTTGAAGGGATTTAACCTGTGAAGTAGAGAAAGAATTTCATTATGAAATGCAACTAAGTATTTTGATTTTTAAAGTATTTCTTGCAGTCAGCAACAAAGTAGTATAAGATTTAAGACCAAGTGAACTATATTTTCACTTCAGTGAAAAATACAGAATCAGTGGTTTGGGTTGGAAAGGACCTTAAGATCACCTAGTTCCAACCCCCCTGCCACAGGCAGGGACGTCTCACCCTAGACCATGTCACCCAAGGCTCTGTCCAACCTGGCCTTGAACGCTCCAGGGATGGAGCTTGTACCACTTCTTTGCACAACCTGTTCCAGTACCTCCCCACTCTCACAGTAAAGAACTTTTTCCTTATATCTAACCTAAATGTCCCCTGTTTTAAGTTTAAACCTGTTACCCCTTCTCCTATCACTACAGCTCCTTATGAAGAGTCCCTGTTCAGCATCCTTGTAGGCCCCCTTCAAAAACTGGAAGGTTGCTATGAGGTCTTCCCACTGTTAAAGAAGGAAGACTTTTAACCCTAAATGCCCAAAACTGACAGAGCACAAAAGCCCCCCATTTCAAGAACCTGAAGAAAAAGGAGTCTGCTCTTAAAAACAGAAAGGATGGGGAACCTTAATGATAAAAACCATGCTTAAGAAAATAGTCTTATATTTGAAATAATAGCATATTAGAAAACGTATTAATAACCTTTCTACTTTAGAAATGAGTTGCTCATAAGCAACATAGCTTGACACCATTTCATTTGCCTTAGGCATCTAGCAGTCACAGCATTCTTTGCATTTCTGCTACATTTGTTTAGCTTCCCTTGCATTTTGTCCTCCTCCTCCCACAAGGCTACAATTCAGCCTTCTGTAACAAAACTTCCATCACTAATAGTTCTGAGTGTTATTTTCCCCAAGAACACCAATATAGCAAACAACACATCAAGTGCCTTCCAATAAGCCACCCAAGTTATCACTGGACAAAAAGAACCACATTGACTATCTCTTCAGGATCTACAGTATAAAATAATGCTTTTCAAATTCTTATGTAAGCAGAAAAATAAGACAAATAAAACTCTCTACCTGGTTCCAAAGAAATCTGACAGCTTCATCCTGTACAAGCCTCTGAATCTTGTCTTCCTCTTTCTCTTTTCTCAGTCTGCAAGAACACACATTCAAATTTATGCAGCTTAAATAAGCAACATTTCAGCAACAAGATAAGAACACCTAAAAATGCCTACTTACATAGCTGCACTTTTGAAAGATACAACAGAGCCTAACATTAAGGCATTACTGCAGTCTGCCTTGTCATCAATATCCAGCTGCTGACTTCAAGTTTCTTTTTCAGAGTTAAGATTCTGCTTCCTTTTGCTGCAGCATATTTATCAACTTGCCAACACTTTAAGTGTATTTTTATAAACTGAACCAGAGCTCTTCTTTTTTTCCTCCACAACTCTCCCCCCCACAACCAAAAAAAAAAAAAAGTAGTGCTCCTTCAGTTCAAATTATGTTCTCCCTAAATGTGTACGCATTGAGAGTTTTTAGAAGTTCACAGGCTCAATTTGATTCACAGAATTTTTGTGGCTTGTGATATTAAAGAAAATGAGCCTGTCAGACTGTCAGCTTCTGGTCTAATCCAGAAATATATTAACCAAATCTGCAATCTAGGTCTTGCAAAATGAGGAACTTTGATAATGACCTCCTCCAAATGTGGTTTCACAGGATAAAAAAAAAAACCAACAAACCAAACCAAACAGAAAATCCCACCAAACCACAAAACAAACAAATAAACAACAAAAACCCAACAAAACAAACCACAAAACCAGAACCAAGCATAGAATCACATTTTAAAATTGTATCATGCAAAGCAGAGAAAATTCTTTTCAGCAGTAACAGAGCAATGACCCTCAATACAGATGCTTCATTTATAGAGTGTAATTGCTAGGAGACAAGTGAAAAAAAAAACATCACACTTAGCAATTTCTATTTTGGTTATGCAGTGAAACATGCAAGGCCTACTATTAGAGGAATAGAAAAAAAATGCATTCTAACCCAACCCACTCATAGAAGGCACTTTGCGAATATGAACAGCTATGTGCGTAACTGTGCTTTTCTTACAGGAAGCAATCCTCTACTATAATCACAGTTTTATATTACTAATGCTAGGTTCTACTGTGAGTAGTTATATCAAGACACATTTATACCTGTTCTGAAATATCCTGGAACACTGGTCATATCCATTCAGATTTGAAAATACACACCATGACCTCAACTTACTTTTCTATTTCATCAGTTAAGCAAATGATGTGCTCCTGCATTCTGTTTAGTCGAATTTCAGAGCGCACTTCCTTTGCTTGGAGATGATAGTTCCTTGTGTAAAATCCTCTCCAGCAGGCTTGAAGCTTGGTAGCTGCTTTAGTCATTCTTTGCAGTTCAGCTGCACTTTGATCAACAACAGCTAATGAATCAGAACTTTTCCCTGTCATCTGGTCAGGACAGAGAGTTGTAACTCCTGGTTCAGCACCTACTGAGGTGCTGGGGTGACTGTGTAGAAAGTGGTCTCCAGAGGATGCTGAACAGTTGCTAGTATTAGCAGTCAGGCTACCTGTTACTGGATTAGAAGGCAACAGAACACTCTCTTTGACATTCTCTTGAATTTCCACACTTCCCATTGCTCTGTTAGAGTGCTCTCTTGTAACACATGAAGCTTCTTGCTTGTTATCCGTTTCTCTGCTATTAACATCCTTCACACATACAATCACTGTACTACCACCATCTTCTAAACCCAGACTGATTCCATCTAGCTTCAGGTCTGAAGCAGGGGTCACTGGAGACAATCCTGAAGCAACTGGCATGAAAGTAGACTCCGATGATAAAAGGCTGCTGTTTAATTTGTCTTCATCAATCTGTACATCTTTGAGGTATAGCTCCTTGCAAAAGCTTCTTTCAAGAACAGAAGTGTTCTTTACTGCATAGGAATGATCATCACTTGCACTTGGTCCAACCCAAGAATTCTTCTGGATCATAGGTTCTAGATAAGCAGAAATCCATATTCAAAAGTGTCATAGTATTTCAATAACATATCTTCATTTAATTCACAGGGATTCACAATTTGGTTTAGATAGTTTGAACCTGGGTGTATAAGATCTAAAATGCCAGCAGTAATAAGCATTATTTCTGTAGAACAAAAATAATAACTGCTTATCACAGTTAACACCCACAAACTTTGCAAATGCTGGGTATAGTAAATTGCACAAATTGGCAACCCTCCCCAAGAAATTATACTTTTATCAGATGTAACAGTCAAAGTAATCTCTTTAGTTTACTGGCTTGTTTTTTTCACTTAAAAATCTTACTAACAGTCTAGTAAGATTATTAGGTGAAAGACATTCAAGACATGAATAAACATGTATTTTTAGAAAACAAAGTATAACTTGAGTTGAAAGTCTCCAAAACTCACTAGACTAGTAACAGGCCTTTGATTGGAAATTCTCTTCTATTATCTATGTTACAAAAAAACAAAAACAAACAAAAAAAAAAACCAACAAACCCCCAAACAATTTTTCCACACATTAGCTCACAGCTACAGATTAGCTTCTTACCTCTTTCAAGAACTATCTGTGGTGGCTTGACTGGACTGCTGTGCTCATGAGTGACTGGTGGTGTTTTGTTGGGAGTAGATGTAGGTAGTCCTTCATTTTGGTTTTGATGCTTCAACTGCCTCTGGTGAAACCTAAGCACAGAGTTCCAACAGATTTTTGTATTTCTTTTAAAGTTTTAGGATACAGAAAACATCTAAAAGAAACTTTCAGCTACTTTGAAGGAAATAAGTGATCAAACCATTCTAACCAACAGGCTCGTTATACAGATCCCTACAAGACACTAACAGGACTACTCACAAACTAGGGATTGCACAGACTGTTCCTGTTCTTCTTCCTGCCCCTTTTTCTTCATTACATGTACATGTATTAAAAATAAAAAAAAAAAAAAAAAAAAGAATCAAACATGCAATTCTGACTGTAGACTGAAAATGAGGAAGTATTTCTATACACCAGAAAGATATGCAGATATTTTAACTGTCTGCTGCAGGAAACCTTATACTTGTATGTATAGAGGAGTTTGAGGAATGGAGGGAGTGTGTTTTACATTTGAAAATGACTGAACAAGGAAATCATGTCCCTGTTATCAAAGAGACAAAATACTAATACAAATCAGCCTTGACACAAACATAACTCCAGCTTTTACAAACTGAAAAAAACCACAGGTTGTTTCAGCACAGGTAAATTCAAAGATCATGAGGCAGAGGTCAGACAGTCAAAATGCCTTGTAAATCACATGTGTGCACAATTATATATATTTATGTACTGGGGATTTTAAGGGGTTGTGTTTTGGTGAGGGGATTTTTGTTTGTTGGGGTTGTTTTAATTTTTAAAGAATTCTATTTTGCAAGTCAGCTTCCTGCATTTTCCCCAGAAACATCATATCAACGTCAGAGCACTTAACTGAAAATTTCAATGTCAATATGCTTTTATTGTACCTTCTCCTCTGAAATACCCAAATAGGACTACAATTTCCTCTTGGAAATCAATCTACACTAAAAAGGCATGTAGTAGCTCCTTCCAGACCCTCCCAAGTTTCCAGCCCATTTCATGAGATACCGCCCTTCTGCTTACAACACTTCTCCTGCCCAGCTTTCTAACCCCACCGTGCAACTTACATGGCCTACTGAGCCGAGCCTTCTGCTCTGATCTTTTTGCAGAAAGGCTTTGTCAACAGGTCCTGGGGACCTGGGATATGTGTATTGTTATGTTTTCTGGCTTTTAATCCCAATTAGTTCACCCAATTAGTCTTCATAGGAGGAAAGTGCACCACAGTAACTCTCCTTATCTACTTGCACAGACTTTAGCAGAACAGCTGCTGCTGGCAGAACCAACAGGCTCTACAAAGGCCTCTGCTGACAGACCTGAGATGCCAGATACAGATATTGTGATATGCACCACTGGGAACAGTGTCCCTCAAAGAACAACCTTAACTTTAAAACTAAGAAAGAACAGACTAACAACAAAAGAAGTGGCTAATACATGAGTTTACCACAGTAATCTTCATTTAAAACTAAAATGAAGTTAATCTAAGCTCTTTTTGAGGTTTTCCTTACTTTCTCTGTGGGGAAAAAAACCCACCTCTCAGTAGACAGGGCTGTGGTAAAATTAACACAAAAGACCTTCAATGTCCTACAGAGAACAGACTAAAAAATACAGAGAATTTGCCCCTAGATGGCCCAGCATGCAAGAAACACTCCTGCCACTGCTGTCTTGCCTCTCATTCCCCTCTAGGACACCTCCTATACTGCTATTACTCCTCTTCAGCCCTCACTGTTGCTTTGAAATACTTACATGTACATCTAATTATATCTAAAACATGAGATATATCACTATATTCTCACTTAAGTTCTCTAACGAGAGGGAAACAAGAAGTTCTCACCTTTGCTTACTCAGTACTTTTTCCAGTTTGGCATCCTCTTCAGTCTGGAGACCATATGTAGATATAAGAGGACAAACAATAGCCAAATACTGGACTAGCTGAACATGCTGCCCAGGTCGGTATGATCTTCCTTTACCTTGACTGTAGAGCCATTCTGCTTTCAAACTGTTAGGAAGTGGGAAAACAGTCACCATTAATGTATGGCATAAAATCACTAATTTTCCTTTGATTACTGTTCTTCTAGTGGGTACTTACATGCTAATCTACAAATCTAATCAAAACTTAGAATATAAGCCCAGAGGAACTGAGAATTTCATTACAGGACAATGAACAATTCCTTTACATGAGCACTGATGAAACAAACAACTGACCAAAACTGTGTAGTCTCTGCTTTATCTGCTTGTCACCTTCACACACTGAAAATACACTTGTGTCAATGAATTAATCAGCAAAGCTCTCACAGAAAAGTTCACACAAGCATGCAGAATAGGCACAGAGAGCAAGTCTTACCAAAAGTATTCAACAATTGAAACCTGCTTGTAAATTAAAGGCTCTTCAGCCCTAGAACATTTAATACATCTATGTATAACACAGTTATTATGAAAATCTCCTTAGTCATGAAAAAAAATAAATATCTGGAATTCTTACAGGCACCTTTTTGAGAAGGTTATGGGGAAACAGAACTCATCTAACTTCGACCAAAAAGGCAGCTTTTTATTTTAGTAACAGGTAAAAAAAGAAGACATTAAATGTCCTGCAATATGTTAACGTATTGGACTAGAATCAGACTGTATTTATACTGGATATTTATGCTTGGACTGTTCTGATGTCAAGAACTTCAGGAAGACGTCCCTAGTGTCCCACAGATATAGTGATACAATGACCACAATGATTACACTAACAAGTGATTCAAGCTAAGTAATATTTTACTAATTGATACAAAAAATGCCAAGTCCAGAAACGCAGATGCAAATAAGGCCCTTTATAAAAGGGTGTGTTGAGCTTCCTCCAAGGTAATACTTTCACATCTACCTGTTGTCTCATTCTGCAAAGTCAAAGAAGCTGGAAGGCGGTAACTGACCATTGATAAATTGCTGCCACAGTTTTGCTCTGCGAAAGTACTACTTGTGAGTTGAGTAACAAAACAAAAGCTTAACTTCATACATCTAGTTACATAAATATGAGATCTTGCATAATAATTCCAGTGCAATATTTGAAACATTGTAGCTTTTGCTAAATTTTCATTGGCCTGTATCTCATATGGCCCTTAGCAAGACAAACAATTTCAAATCACTAGCACTTTTCCACTTTTTATTACATAAAAATAGCATTTCAGTTTAGCCAAACTTTATTTAATAATTTTTGAGATTTGATACTATTGTATCACCTTTCCTTCTGAGAAATCACATATCCATCTAGAACTTTAAGGTTCAGACACCAGCTGACAATATATGGCCTGTAGTCAAAGCCAGGGATAGAAGGTGTGGCCATCACACAAGGATTGTTCATAATTGACAACTGTTCCAACTGACGGAGAGAGGTCAGGAAGGAAACCTTAAGAGAACAAGACATTTTTTAACTGAATAGAATCATTAAATATTTACAGAATTTATTACATTTCTCCTAGTAACAGCTAGACATCTCGCACAAAACAACATAACTACAAATACTCTGACAATCGCATTCCCTTTTGAACATCTTTTTACAAGGGCATGCAGTGACAAGACAAGGAACAGCGAGCGGCTTTAAACTGGAAGAGGGATTTAGATGAGATATACTGAAGAAATTCTTCACTATGAAGTTGGTGTGTCACTGGAACAGGTTATTCAGAGAAGCTGTTGATGCCCCATCCCTGGAAGTGTTCAAGGCCAGGCTGAATGGGGCTTTGAGCAACCTGGTCTAGTGGAAGGTGTCCCTGCCCATGGGAGGGGTTGAAACTGGATGATCTTTAAGGCCCCTTCCAACCCAAACCATTCTAGGATTCTACAGTCTTCAAAGGACCTTCTATCCATTACTGCCATTTTCCCATTAATTCTCCTTTAACCACTAGCTTCTCTTAAAATCTGGGAATGGGTGTTTATGTACAGAAAAGTATATTATTTCTACGATTCCAGTCTACTGCAACAGGCATTGAGATTTTGACAAAAAAAATTGCAAGGCTAAAAGCTGGAGAAACACTTATGTTTTGAAGAGGAGACATTTCACCAAAATAAGACTTTTCTTCCAGCTTGGAATTCCAACTGATAGTTTTGGCTGCTACTTATATTAAAAAACAAACAAACAAAAATAAAAAAGCCACCCCAAAACAATAAAGACAAAAATCACAGGCAGAATTTGTTTCTCTCATACAGTGTTTGAGAAATAGACAAAATAAGACATGGACACAAAATCATTCAGTTGCAATAGGGACATCTCAAACACCTGTTTTAAACACAGCAGCTGCAGAAGCCCTCTGCAGCAGTTAATCAGTTCAGCTTTCAATCTTCATCATGAAAAGCAATCTGTGAATTTATCCCTTAAAGTATACTTCTGACAACCTTGAATAATATAAAATCATGAAAGAAAAAAAGCAAATTTTCTTTACAGGATAAATTTTAAAACTTATCTTTATAGGATAATTTTTTAAATTCAAAGGCAGCTAATGTTAGTATTGTTATCACATATAAACTATTAAAAGTTACTTCTATCAACATGGGTTGTTTCTTTCAAAAGAGAGCTTATTTTCAATTACATCTGAAACAGAATTATCACAATACCTCCTTTCAGTCTACTTAAAGGCAAAGTGATATCTTCTATATCTTACCTCATTTAAGTCTCTGATTTCATTTTCTGCCAAAGAAAAAACAGTCAGATTCTGAGGCAGACAAACAGGGGCAGTGCGAAGTGAAGTTATAATATTTCCATGCAGCAACAAAGTCTGTAAAATAAAAATATGGTGATGAAATGTATGTTTGATCACAGTTCAGACAATATCTGCACAATAAACACAAAAGAACTATAATTAAGGCTTTCTGGTATCATCAAAGTTATTTTTGTTTATTTCAGCAAGGGAAAACTGATTTTTATGTTTTACATAATGAAAGAAAAAACTCCTTATTTCAAAAAGCAGAAGTACCGTCACAGGAAAAAAAAAAAATTTGAAACATTTTTTCTCTACAGTGTTTGTGCTGAAGGAGTTAACAGTATGTTTTGTCTTGATTCATGACATGAGACAAGAGAGCCAAGAGCTAGGAACAAGATCTCACTCTGTTATCTTTACCAAAACCATTAAAAGTAATTATAGAAAAACAAAACAAAACAAAACAAAAACCCATCAGCTCCTGCAACTTGAAAACAAGGAAAAGAATTCTTATATGACTCCCTCTGGAAATTATAGTGATTAATTAAAATGTCTTGAGAACTAGTGTTTGAATAATGAATACTTTAAAAGGCAGCAATTTTCATGGCAAATTTCTTCATGCAAAGAATGTAACAAACCCAGAGATAAAATAGCACCTACCTTCAGCAACTTCAGCTTGGAGAGATCACCTAATTGAGCTATATTGTTGTCTGACAAATCAAGATGCTGAAGAGACAGACAGGAATTGATCTGTTCAATGGCCTATGAAAAAAAAAGAAGTCAATTACAGTAACTGTCTTTTAAGTAACAGTTAAATTAAACAACAGTTATAAATTATTTTGAAAGCCAAAAATCACCAGATAAGTAACCCAAAATGAAAACTGAATTTTTACACAGTTTCATTTTAAAGACAGTAATTCTTTTTCTATCTGGGGGACTATTTCCCAATTCTCATTAATTTTGACATCAAACCTTTTATTTTGTTCCTAAACAATTCTTGTCCAAAAGCTGCCTCTTCTATTTCATAAACCAGTAGATGCAAAACATCAACATCTGTTCCAATTCTTCGTAGCATTTTCCAAATTTCTACAACACTAGATTCTGAAAAATGCAAAAGACTAAATATTTTACCTTAAGGTTATTTCCTGCCAAGTTCAGCCATTCTAGGTGCACCAAATCCTTCAGTCCTTCCATATACCCAATGCTATTATGAGGCAAGTTTAGCACTCGGAGATTAGTCAGTTTTGCAACACCCATCATTCGCACCAACCGGTTGTTGGCTACCGAGAGCTGCAGATTGACACACAAATAAAAAAACAGTTTAAACTATTTAACTGCACAGAGATAAAAGGCTTTTATTTTTAGTGGTAAAAAATCTAATCTACCACAAACTTCTTCAACCTAAGCATACACTTCTAGTCTACATGGAGGCACTTTGTAATAATTAACATGGACTTTTACAGCTTTGCCACAGTGGTTAATACTCTGATCTTTGCAAACACCATGCAGAGGCTTAACACCCTTATCACTAATATGCTCGTGAAATTAAATGGGCTGATGCTGGTCTTAAAATAAAGAACTAGCAACATCAGGGCCTACATGGATTGATACGTTAGCAAAACTACACAGATCCCTTCCGCTTCACTTTTATTTAAGGTTACAAACTCAGGTATTCAAAAGCTAAGTAGTATAAAAATTTGGGTTATCGGTGACTTTCTAAGTGGCACCAACACCCCCAATTCAGATTTATTTAGTTCATTTTTTAGTTACCTAGGTGACAGCTTCTCCCACTATCAACTGTACAGCTACACTGAAAACAAAGCTTTGTATTTTACTAAGCCACTACTTATTCTCCTACAAAGACAGTAGTGCTAATTTTTAATTGCAAAATATGACCTTGAAGCAGAAGTATTTTAATTAGCATCACAGCACCATTATTTCATAGCAAACTCAAATCAAATAACACTGACCTGCATCAAATTCCTGCATTTCTCCAAGTGTTCTAATTTAATTATCTGGTTTTTGTCCAGAATCAGACTGTGAGTATCAGCATCACAGGGTAATGTTGGACCCAGTTTTTGCAATCCTTGACCTGACCAGTTGACTACCAAACCTTAGAATAAAAACAAAAATAAAGACCCAAAGTCAACATTTTATATCTGAGAACATGTACAGAAAATGCAAAGGAAGATAATTAGATTTGTTTTATAATACATGCAACTAATTTGCAAATACAAATTAACTTTCTTTTAAATGTAAAACCAAAGCAAATTATGTCATGCAAAACACAGCAGACTAAGTGACAGTTACTGAAAGATATGCATTCTAGGTTCCCAATAAAGAATTCTGCGAAAGGCAGTGACAGATCTTCCAAAGTGGGAAGAAGAGCAACATTTCAGTAACTAAATTTACAGGTGTGATCCTTGATCCTTAAATTCTTCAAAGCTTTCAAGTTCTAAGTAGTTTTACAACTAGATCCTTAAATTCTTCAAAGCTTTCAAGTTCTAAGCAGTTTTACAACTACCTAGCTATGTGTAGGCACTCTATCTGAATTCCTGCTTTTAAGCAAACCCAGAACATGTCTAGCCCACATCCTGCACAAAGAACAAAACATCCAGTCACTAAACAAAAAAAGGAAGGGTCTGAGAAGAGGGTAAGCAGCATCCATCCTTTCATCAAGCAGAATGTGGGGAAACCTGATGAGGATGCAAACCTACAAACCCCCTTTCTGCAGAGTTTCATCAAACACCCTGCTACAGTATTTGAAGATTAGGGCGCTTGTAAATGTGAAATACCTACGTGATGGCACACAGCCAGAAGAAAAAACCTTATCACAAACAAGTCCTTAAACAGGTAGATCACTGAATAAAAACCTGCAGACTTTTCTTTTTCACCCTCTATATTTCAAAGGAAAATCATTATTAGCCCAAATTAATATTTTTTTTAATAAAGTGCACTCTAGGTGCCAACTCAAAGCAGAAGTTTCAGCCTGTGAAACCAAAACTAACACCTCTATGTTGTCTGCAGTTGGATGCTTCAGAAAAGAAAGAGACTTAAGACTCAACCCTCTCTTTAAAATTTCCTAACAGGTATGTTAAGACATGCTCCTTTTTAGCAGTTTGGCTGCTGCAAATACCTAAGTATTTAACTACCTTATCTTATTGGGTAGGAAATATATCTAATTCAGACACAAAGGTTCCACCCCACGACTTCACTGGTTAAATCTTTGAGTGCATATCACCTTGGGATTTTAAAACTTGCATCCCAAAATTGTATCAATAGGCTCAGTGTCGCATATTTCAGCAAAGTACCTAGCAAAAAGCCAGAACAAAGACTCATGCATATGTCATACTATACTGCTGGTGACATTTGGGCAGGAGCAAATTGTAAATAGGCTAGCTTATCATTTAATTAATGAAACACAAAATTAAGATGTTCCATGCAATAACTGTTACTACAGAAGTTAAAAATAAAAGAAAAAAGCCATCTACAGGGAACTTGAACCACTGGGTACCTACAGTGACACCTGCTAGTAACGATTTTCCTATATTAAGCTTCTGCTGAGTTTTACACACGCCATTCTAGTGCTTGCTCTTCTCTTATTATCTAGTCCATAAATAATGCTGCCTTTTTCAGCAGCATGTTCCAGAATAGTGTCCTTACCCTAACAGGCACTATATATTAATATTGTTACAGTTTGCAGCCTTTTAGGGTTTAGTTACGCCTCAGATGCAGACAAACATTTTTTGAATACCGCTTTGTCAACTGGAGAGTCTACTTTTCTAAGAAGAATCTCTGACATTTATTAAGCTTTCATTGCTTCCTAAAACTACAGCCATCAAAGAGCTCTGAAGAGCGGCAATGCAGAGCCCACAGTGTCAGAAACAAGCCACACTCCTGGGCCTGCACCTTCTGGGAGAAGGTATTGCATGTTTTTCAGTGAAGTAGCCACCTCTGCCACCCTTTGGTCACTTCAACTAAAGAGGGAAATTTTGCACCTGCCCATTCATCCAAGGGCTTGTTATGAAAATTCACAACTGGCCCATGACAACTGTGGGGAGAAGATAGGACCCATGGTATAGAATTGCATGAGTAATCCTTTTATTTGTTCAAATTGGATCACCTCGAATATGGCTCTACATATATATGGGTCTTATACCTTTCAAGCATTCAGGTACATGATTTGACTAAATGCTACTTAACACGTACACACAACCATCTCCAAAGAAACTGTATTTCTATGGCATCATTATCCACCTACTTCTCTATTGACCTAGACATCCTAGTAGTCAGTCTTGCTATAGTTACTTATCTACAATGCCAGACAACAGGAGGGTTTCACAGAGGTGTTAAGAGAAGCTAGGATGCTGGCACTATCTTGGTTGTCTAGGGGTATCCTTTAACCTTTGTGGGGACCTCTTATGATTCAGAGAAGCATGTTTGCCTATTTCAGGGGCATCTGTCCCTACAATGAGAAGGGTGCTTTGCTTTGCTTGCTTAAGCATGACTATTCAGTATATAGTGTGAACTATATATATACGTATATATCTTAAGAAAGTTAATACAATTTCATACTATAAAGCCTCAGTGGTATAATACGTTGGGAATGAGATTTTCTTAACAGGCTCTCAGTACACAAGAAAATATTTCAGAATTGCTTGCTACTTGTTTGTCTGCTAGATAGCTAGATACATTAACAGATCTCAGAAGCTCACAATTTTTACTCAGGCCTCTGCTCACTCACTCAGCTTTCAAAGCCAGATTTGTGTTACTATAACGCACCGTCCTTTCAGGCAGAGGCAGAAAGCAAGACAATGCACAACCTCCCTGCCCTCCGCTATAGGAAAAAGGGGCCTTATTTCAACCTCTGGCCTACCTTCTACTAGGCTGAGGGCAAACCCCTTCTCATCGGCCCGGGCCTCATCGGTTCGGACAGCCTCTCCGCGACACTCCCGCCAATGCTCAGAGCCAAACGCACTGCCAGACTACTTTCCCCGTTTCTCAGGATGGGCTGCCTAAGTGCCACTCTCCTCGCACGTCGCTATCCTGGCCGCTTCCAGCCCCCCTTGGAGACCTCAGGTGCCCAGACACAAGCGGGGAGGAAGGCGGAGAGCGACGAGAAGGCTAGCGAGCTACCCACTATCTCCACCACCACAGCTCACCACCCGGGCTGCAAGGTCTTCGGGAGCTTTTACCCTGAGACCCGCGCACGGCGCTGCCCGCACTACATCTCCCAGTGTGCGCTGCGCTCCCCCGCCCCTCGACAACACACAACGAGACCCAAACAGACCCCCGCCGCCGCAACGCCCGGACGGTCACCAGCGCCTTGAATCGCGCCGCACAGCTCCCACTACGTTCACTGCCTTCGGGGCTTCCCTTACCCCCTCCAACCGGCGAGACAGCTCCAGTCTTCGCCACAACCCCTGTGGACGCCATACTTCCCACTTGCCAACACCGCCAGGGAAACAAGCGCCAGGCGCTGATTGGCTGTCTTGTTCCGCAATGGGAATGATGAGTCTTTTATTCAAAGTAGGGCAGAAAGTCCCGTCTATGGAGCTGCCCGGCAGGATTTTAACCAGCTAGTGGAAATCCGGGCAGTGTAAGAGCCCAAAATAACCCCCTGCCCCCTCCTCCAGCTGGTGATTGCCGCCTGCCTCACTCCCGTCAGGTCCTGCGCGGGGGTGGCCCTCCCGGCGTGCAGCGCGCTACGCACGGAATGCAGTTTCCCATCATCCTCTCTTTCTCTTTCCTGCTGCTGTCGCTCGCGTGGAAGCTGGTGCCATCATGAAGTAAGAGCCGTGGCGTCTTCCTGTCGCTCTATCCGGGGCCATCTGTGGCTGTCCGCCGCGGAGAGGCCGCCGGAGGGCTGTGCCTTCCACCTGGGCTAACTCGCGGTCTCCCCTAACTTTTCTTTCCTGCGCAGGGTCGAGCTGTGCAGTTTCAGCGGATACAAGATCTACCCCGGCCATGGGCGCCGCTATGCTCGCACCGACGGCAAGGTAAGGCATGGAGCAGCCGGGGAGACCGGAGTGCGCGCGCCGCGAGGAGGAGGCAGCTGTGATACCGGGTGGCAGAGCCGAGCAGGAGCGGGCTATGGGAAGAGAGAGTGCTAGGTCTGAGAGGCCGGTGCGGTGCTAAGGGAGGCGGAGTCCTCGCATTTAACGCGCAGCGGGGAATTCTCTTGTCCGGGGTGTCCGGTGGCGTTGCTGTAGCATCCGTCAGTGTCTAGGTGTCACGATTGCTGTCAGACTTGGTCCGCGGGAGAGCCGTACGGGATTCTTGAGTCTGGTTTTAGGTTGTGGTTTGGGAAGGGTGTCTTGAAGCATCTGGTCTAAAGTACTGAAGTTCTGTAGGAAATGCTATTTGGACATACTTCGTCTAGCACTGAGATTTGCTGAAGCAAACAGCTGTATTTGCAGATAAGTTGGGTACAGACCATTGGGATTAAATAGGGAGGAGAGCCCTTTCAGGCTCTCATAACTCATACATACAAGGGCTGTCAGAAACACAAATACACTATTTATACTTCCAAAGGGAGGATTTGGGTTTTGGATATCCTAGTACAGTTGTCTTGCTGTACAGAATCTCCTGGGAAATGACAGCTAAGTAAATAGACTGAATTTTCAGGTGCTTTCTTGGGAATTTGGTATTTTGACATTGTGTAGTTAATAACAAATCAGCCTACTATTCTAGGCCAGAAGGAATTGAGTGGAGTATTGGTCACTGTGTGTTCTTTAGGCCGAGTTTTGATTCACAGTTATTTGAGGACAAACATTTGAAAAGTATGATGTGAGGCACTGGAACAGATTGCCCAAAGAAGTGGTAAATCCCTGGCAGTCTTCAAGGCCAGGTTGGAGAGAGAGCCTTGGGTGACAGTCTGGCGTGAGGCATCTCTGTCCATGGCATAGGGGTTGGAACTTGATGATCTTAAGGTCTTTTCCAGCTCTAACCATTCTATGATTCTATGTGGGATTTGGCTATCAGCAGATTGCAGCTGTAATTTAAGCTTTCCTCAGAAAAATTAAGCTGCTTCAGAATGCCTTGTAAGAGATCAGTTTGCTGAACAGAACAAAATTCCAAACTTTATTATTATTTTTAAAATATTTAATTGTATATAGAAACACAAAAGCACTGTTGTTGAAAACACTGAATCAATGAATTACTTCATCTGTTAATGTAAACCATGCTCAGAAACAAAGCTCATACAGTACTTTGCTTTCCTAGGTTTTTCAGTTCTTGAATGCAAAATGTGAGTCTGCATTCCTTTCTAAGAGAAATCCCCGCCAAATCAACTGGACTGTTCTGTACAGGCGGAAACACAAGAAGGGACAGTCAGTAAGTGTACTCAGGCTAATGGCACTCCATTAGAAGTTTCCCACCAAAAGCTTTGGTTACTGGATTGTTAAAATAGAGGTAACATGGTATGCTGCTCTTTAGCAGAGGCATGACCCTTACAACCAGGATGAATACTGGCCAGTAGCTACAAAAATATGAGTGCATTTACATGACTTTATAATGTGCTTTATGTTTGAAAGCTAACCACTTTGGCAAGTGTTATATGTGTATTGTGTCACTTCAAGGGGCCGCTTGGAACCACAGTAGGCTCAGTAGATCTTAAAAATTGTATGTATAGTATATGTTTTTAAAAAATAGTTTTAGATAGGCAGGTAATGCTATTCAGTATGTAGACTTTTTGAAAGCTGGGAGTTGTAAGCTTCAAGAATGGTGGTAAGGCATAGAGACCTGATCAGGGGGTTAAAAGGTGGGGGAACTTTTCACATACCTTTCTTGAAAACTTTGGGCTATAACTTAGTAGGAGGTCTGACCTGTGTAGTTGTCACTGCATGACAAGATAAATTAATAAGGCATGTAGCATGAGGTGTGTTCAGTGCTCTTGTTCTCTTGTTTAAACTTGCATCACAAAAGAGCATTTAGAAAGGCCTACATATGTGTTACAAGTCAGTGTTTTTTACCAGTTTGTTTGGAGAAGGAAGCTTGATGGCTTTCACTGCTGCCCAGCACTGTGATCCCACTTGAAACAGGCAGGAAGTGTCTTCCCTTCAGAAGATTCCATCAAAGTAGACTTTACCTACCCACTCCTCTCCTTCCTTCCTCCCCACCCCCCCATTTTTTTTGTTGTTCTGGAAGTGACAGAAGGCTGAACCTCTAGCATTTGTCCAAAATACTTTTTAAAATATACTTTGCAAAGGACAATACATTGTTTTTCTTTAGTTCTTCATCTTCTTTGGCGAATCAAGAAATCTGTTATCTCCAAAGTAAGGCATAAAATTCTTCTACAGTTCTGTAATAGCTTCTGTCTTAATAGTAGCTTGTTTCTGTCTTTAGCCTTTTATTTAATGTTTTGTTACACTAATTGTCTTAATCTTCTGCCATTTTAGGAAGAGATACAAAAGAAGCGCACACGTCGTGCTGTGAAGTTTCAGAGAGCCATCACTGGTGCATCTTTAGCTGAGATTATGGCTAAGCGAAATCAGAAGCCTGAAGTACGAAAGGCACAGAGGGAACAAGCTATTAGGTAAGAAATCACAGATAAGTGGAGCTATCCCAGCATTTTCAAAGATTATTAATATTTTTCATACAAGAGTTATATCGTAGACGAACTCCATGTTTTAGAACTTTTCTTGTGGCTTGTTTGTTTGAGGTTTTGTTTGTTTGTTTTTCAATAAATATATTTGGAGGTAATGCCGAGTAGTCTCAGCAGGAGATAGTAGCACCAGAGAAGGGTCTCTTCTTGCCCTCTCACTTTGCGAAAATACCACTTTGGTCACATTTCTGCTGTCTGTGCACCCTAGAGAGTACTGAATGTGGAGGATAAACCTGATATAATTCATTTCTTGATCATGGGGAGTTCATACAGTGCTGAGATAATGAAACAGTGACTGGCATACATGGACAGTTGTCATCTTTTTCTGTGCATTGACAGGGCTGCAAAAGAAGCCAAGAAAGCCAAGCAAGCAACCAAGAAAACTGCTGTTTCTGCTGCAAAGGTAAGATGCAATAGGTGGACTGAAATCATGAAACCAAACAGGCTGTGTTGTTACACAACAGTCTGGTGCAGCACTTAACTGGACATGTCCATTTGTGTTTGGAAGAAGCATTTGTTCACTTGTTTTGACCTGGAAGCCTTCGACCAAGCTTTTGCACTGCAAAAACATCTTAACAGTGAACCTTTTTTACAGAATAAGTAAATATTATAGCAAAACCAAAACAAAATTTACTGTATGTGAGAGATTTTTGATAGCTAAACTCTTGTCTGGAAGTGATGTCTTCACTGTATAGGAACTTGGTAATAATATTGATAAAAGCTAGCAGCTATTTCATTCTTATTAATTAATGCCATATGTTGGCATTGTACATGCTGTAAGCTTAGTGGTATGTGTGTAACCATCTGTTAACAGGATTATAATCTGGTAAATGGTAATTGTAACCTGATTTGATTTAAATTGTTAAATCTGTCAAGAATCTTAAAATACACAGGGACACTTACAGGACTGCCAGTAAATTGCTTCTCTTTCTCTTTTTTTTACAACAGGCTCCTACAAAGGCAGCACCTAAGCAGAAGATTGTGAAACCAGTGAAGGTTTCTGCTCCCCGTGTTGGTGGAAAGCGCTAATTTGCTGAACTGTTAGTCTTTCTGAATAAATACCTGACTGACGTTGGTAACTTGTGCCATGTAGTCTGTGTGTCTCACACACAACTGTGTGAGATATACTGAAGAGAATTCATGTGTGATATACCCATGTCTGGTTTTGCAGACTGGAAAACGTTGCAGTAAAACACCTGGGGTTTAGACAGTGTGCTGTATCAGCACATGTTTCTTGAGTCTTTCATGAATAACTCAAGTGGCAGGGAAGGTAGAGTTGATGTGCAAGAAGCTGTTGTTGCCTGAAGGACAAAATGGCACATAAGTACAAGTTAATCTATATCTATGACAAATGGCATAAAAAGTGGTTTCTAAGCGCAGAGATGCCAGCTAAATGGGACATGAAGCAGTACCATCTATGACTTGAAAAGGATAACACATTTGTGAAACATGTGGCAAGATGGTGGGGAGGGTCGGAGAAGGACTAGGTTGAAAAAGGGGAATTGGTGGCTTCACAAACTGCATGGCTTTTATGTGCAGAGGTTCAGATGCAGCTCCTGGGTCAGGAAGCAACAAAATGATTGCGTGGTGGAGGCTGTTGTCAGGAAGGTGACATCTGTGAAAGCTGAATGAGCTTTCAATGCAGCGGATGGTATATAATTCAAGCCCATTTAGGTTCATATTTAACTTTATAAATGCAGATAGGGCTTGCCTTGGTAATTCCCCACCCCTAGAGGGAACGGGCATTTCTTCAGTTTTTCACATAAAGTATGTATCTCTGCTTTAGTATTTACAGTAGTTAGTGTGCCCGGGCTTTGTTGTAGTTTTGATGCACAGTAATTACTGTGGTACAGCAGTGTCCTCTTGACTGGCAGCAAAGGGAAAACAAACATTGTTTTTTGGATCAGCTACTTCTCAGTTTATTGATGCACATCTTAGTGCCTCTTGGCGTCAAAGAGCTTTAAGGGCTTGCTTTGTTCTCTTTCTACACTAGTCAAGAAAGTAGCTGACCAATTCACAGTTTTGCTTCCTGTATCTGGGCTTCAGAAACAATGGTTTTGGATTATGGGTTCTATTTTGAGTTATATCATACTTTTTTTTGGGTTTATTAAAATAGATCTGGGTCTGGATGAAGGTTGCAACCCATTTAAAATGGACTGAGTTTGATTACATTAGTAGCATTTGCACAATTATCTTCCAAACAATTATGCTTTTTGCTGTTTGAAAAAAAAAAAAGGGTAGGAGCTACTCATGTTCAGAATTAAATTGAAAGCTTTTAAACTTCAAACTGGAGGTGGCAAGAAGGGAAGGAAAATTGCTTGTTGTAGGGAAATTAATATTTATAATCATTTAAATAATTTTTAATAATTTAAAACTGATACTAAAAACACTGAAAGTTACCTGTGCTGGTGACAATTATATAAAATCCTGTTTGTATCAAGACCTTGTATAAAACATGATATTTTGCATGCATGCTTGCGAAAATTTTCAGCTAAAAAGCTGAAAGGGAAGATGAGTTTTTACTAACGATCTGGAAGTACCATGAATGATATATAAAAATTCTCAGCTATGACAAATTAATAAATCAGTAAATGCTGATGCTTTGAGATTTGCAGGCTTTGGCTGCCTGGTGTTACTGCACAGAAATATTCTTAAGGTTACTCTTCCTTGCTATTCATGAGTTCTGACTCATATGGTGGGACAGAGTAAAGAGTAACAGCCCATAAGGTTACTCCTCTCACAAGCTATGCTTCAACAGAGTGAGACAGGCCGTTGAGAGCAGGGCATTAACCTCATGTAACTGCACATTGTTCAGCTCAAACACATATGTAATGCCATGAATTAACACTGAAATTAATCGTTTACCTAATGCAATGCAACTGATCCCCTGTTAATCACAAAAAATGGAATACAGATTTTTCATAGGTGCACATAATAATTAAGGTTGCAAAGGATCTACAGAGGTCATCTGGTCCAACTCTTTTCTCAAAGCATGTCTATTTAGATCAGGTTGCTCAGCTGAGTATCCAGCTGAGCCATGACCAACTCCAAAGACAGAGGTTCCACAACCTCTTACGGCAGCCGGTTCTAGTATTTGACAATCACCACAGTTTAAAACTAAAGATAAAAACCTCTTAATTTCACGTGTTCTAACCTGTGCCTGTGACAATGGCTATGTAACTGACAAGAGTTTGCTTCCACCATCTCTGTAACCTCTGGTGATGTAGCTGTGGACAGCAGCAAGGTCCTCACAAAACCTTCCCTTTTTAAGGCTGAAAGGCCTGCTCCTCAGCCTCTCTTAATTCCCTCGTGCTCTCATCCCGATAGCCTTTGTAACCTTCTGCTGGAGTCGCTCCATCCAGTCAGTATCTTTGTACTTGCGGGGGTATTGCAGTACTCCAGAAACTGTCTTGCAAGCACTAAGCACAGAGGGAAAGTCACTGTTGGCTATGCTTCTGGCTGGGTGCAGGCATCCTGCGATTCATGTCTCTCATTACGGATGTAAAAATTAGGTCGGGATTTGGACAAGGAAAAACAGCAGCTACTCTTCAGTTTTACAAATCAAAAAGGAGCACACTCGACGCACCGATATGTACTGCTGTGCCACTCTGCCCATGCTCATGCAGCTGGTCACCGGTTGTGCTGCTCCTGAGAATGCTCACACTACAATGTAAAATCACTATAATTTCCCGTCTCTCGTACTCCCAACGCGATTTTGAACCTGCTTATTTCGGAGCTAGCGCTGTTCAAGTATTCACTTAATAGCCCCAGGTCCTGATACCACGGCCATGCCCGCTCTCACAGGTTTTGCTCAGCTCTAAGATGGCCGATCCTAAACCTTCCCCTCCCGGTCCCAAGATGGTGGCTTCGTTCCCCCTACCAGCTGCTCCTTCCCTGAGCTCCCGCCCCTTCCTATACGCGCGGGATTCTGACGTCACTTCCTCTTGTGCAGCAGCCATTTTGTCTTTCCGTTGCTGTTGCTGTTCGGGCTTCTCACTCCTACCTGCAGCCGCTGGCCGCGAAATTCCAGTTCCCCCCGGGGCCCGGCTCCCGCCGGACAGGCCTTCCGACGCCTGGGCGAGGGGCCCGCGGAGGCGCAGGAGGTCCCAATCCTCCGTTCCCCTGGCAGCGCATGCTCTTCCCTGCCTAGGGAGACGACCCTGCCGAACCCCCGGCAAGTGCCGACGCTTCTTCCCCTCCACAGGACCCCTGCTTGTGACTGACACGGGCGCGCCCTGTCCCGCAGCCACCTTCGTCCTGGTGGCGAGCGCCTTGCCCTTGCCTGGCGGTCAGCGGGAAAACCGGCGCTGAGGCTGCCCCTTTCACTCCCCCGTCTCCCCCTGCCCCGCCATGTCCAGCGAGGAGAGCTACCTGGCCATACTCCGGTACCTGACCAACGAACGGGAACCTTACGCGCCGGGCACGGAGGGCAACGCCAAGCGCAAGATCCGTAAGGCGGCAGCCTGCTACGTGGTGCGCGGCGGCACCTTGTACTACCAGCGGCGGCAACGGGACCAGCAGCGCTTCGCCGAGCTCGAGGTGGTGCTACAGGCCGAGCGCCGCGCCCGCCTCATCCGCGCCGCGCACCTGGCTCCCGACGGCTCCCACCGGACCCGCCTGCAGACCTGGCAGGGGCTCTCGCAGAAGTACTGGTGGCGAGGTGAGCGGCGGGGGGAGTCCAGTAGAGGCCGGAAGAGGCGGCTGGTGGAGCCAGGGTTACTAGGAGCTGGGCTTGTGGAGAGGGTATGTCTGCGTGTGCTCCCTAGGGAAGGCAGTAGGGGACTGTCGCTGTTTGGTGCCTTGAAACATCTCGTGACCTAGGCTGCGACCGCGAGTCAGTCCTGAACAGGAAGGTCTTGCCTCGCTGTATAAATTACACCTTGGTCAGCACATTGTCCTGTGGCTTCTTATTTAGCAGGTTAACTAGGGTGACCCAGTTAATTGAGCTTTTAACTTCGTAATACCTTTTCCTGCTACCATGTGGATGCTGTGCACATTTAAATAGCAGGGCATCCAGTGGTGGTTTGTAGCCCTGGCTCTTGTTATATTTGTCACTTTCTTCCAATGAGAAGCTGAAAAGACTTAATTCTCAGTTGGTTCCTGACCTGTTAGAAATAATAGTACACGAACAGCAACAATTCCCAGTCGGGGTCGTCTTTTGGCTGAGCCAGTGACTTGGTATCTGTATTCTCTCTGGATGTGATGTTCTGCTTTTAGTCTTGTGTATCCATTAAACAAATACCCTGTTGTTTCAGTTGCTCAGGGCCCAGTTTCTGTTTGTGCTGCTTCTCTTCTTCTGCCTTTTTTTTTTTTTTTTTTTTCATCCATCAGTTAGCAAGTCTGTCATTTCAGCTTTAGTTTTCACTATCTTAATTTGGAAGCTTTTTGGTCTAGCTGCAGCCCATCTTTCCTCTACAGATCTCATTGACTTGAAAATCTTCAATGTGAAAAAGAATTTGGTGTTTCAAAGACATCCATTCTGAATGGTGGCCTCCTTACCTTTATCTGGTTTCTTACTGTCTGCCTAGTATTGGGCTGATCTAGCATCTACTGTTACCCTGTGCTGGAAAGTTCCTAAATGGACCTCAGTATATCTTTTCATCAGAAGAGGGCATTCCATATTCTGTATTCTTCATCTTGTGATCTTATTGGCTACTTTTGTTTGCACAACCTGTAGTCTCTTATTTCGCTTGCACTGAAGATACTAAAATTCATTGCCTGCTTTCAGTTCAAATGTTACATTTCTTACCTGTCTCTCATATGAAACACTGATTTGTCCTGCCATTATACTACTCTTCTGCTACTAATGAACAGTAGCTTTGACCCAGTTATCAACCTCAGGTGAGTGACAGTCTGTTGTGTCTGTCTGCTCTGTAATTGGGAAGGAATGGGCTGGAGTGTGACTCAGTGGCCAGGAAGGGTGTTGGATTTGTAAAGACCGGAGATCTTCTGACCTGAGAACTAATCCCGATTTCAGATAAAATCAAAGAAACATAAAAGTATTTGAAATGGCCATGAATGTTTCTTGGGTTGGAATATCTTGCGTTGCCTGAAGTCTGCATTTTCCTGATCCTTATAGAGATATGTATGTAACGATAGTGCATTTCCTGCTCTGAAAAGATGTGAGCAGGGCAACTTTAACTCTGTATGTCAGCCAAGTTTTAGAGCTATGCTACATTTTGAACTATAGAGGCATAGCTGTTGTTATGTATGCTCTTATATTATTCTAGTGAAAAAAAAAAAAAATTTGGATTGAAAGCTGTACACTAAAAATTCTTTGGTACCTAGAAGAGGACCCTGAGCTTAAGAACTATTGAGTATCTAAAATTATTTAGTTTCTCCAGCTAAAGTACTAGTGGGAAATTAATTTATTTAAATCCTAAAACCATAAGCAAGCGATTTAAGTTGGTGTTAATATGTATAACTGCATATACTACAGTTTATTCTGATTTTACAAAAGTCTTCCAGTTCTTGTCCCCTTCAGTAAGGACAAGCTGAGGTACACTTGTGTGGACTAAATGCCTGTGTATGGACTATGTGTGGGCTAGGTTACAGCTTTCATTGCCTTGGGATTCTTAGGGTGGCTGTATAAATACAAATATTTTTTTGTAGCCTTAAAATTCTTTCTAAGAGTCTGCTTGATATACTGATGTTTTAAATGTTCTAGCTCAAACTAATAATGGATTACAGTAGTGACATGCAATAACATACAATGGTGTGAGAGAAGCAGAACTGGTAAAAAGTGAGAGAAGGAGAAGGGTAGGTGACTGATTTGTTTTTTCTCAGTAAGTGTGTAGTACTGTTTTGCTAATCACATATTTAATTTTATGTTTAAGGTAAACGAATGAAGACCAGAAGCTTAATTAAGCTCTATTAATTTTTCTTAGGTATTCTTAAACAGGTTAAAGATTACATTAAAGAATGCAGCAAGTGCCAGGAAAGGCTAGATCGGTCTAGATCTCTGTCAGATCCTTCTGAAATTCTGGAGGAACTAGGACTGGATGCAAAATCTCAGGAAGACAGTAATGAAACAGATGATAGATTGAGTAATGTGGCATCAATTCCAGCTGCATCCCCAAAGCCTGTGAAGAAGAAGCCAATAGCAAAGCATGAACTTGTATTTGTAAGTACCATTGTTTACATCTGAATGTATGTAAGATGGTTGTTAATGCGTTCCTAGTCACATACTTATTTTCAATTGTTGTGATAATTTTGTAATAATAAGATGACAGATTTTGCCAGAGATACTCAATATGTAGGAATGGATTACTGGTATATATGAAATTAATTACAGTATGTCATCTTTAGAAAATAAAATCACCCTGACTTCTATTATGTATGGGACCCAAGGGAAAATGAATTCCAAAAGTAAAAGTAGTAAAGCATCACATACAAGATTCTCATGGAATCTATATCTGTTCCTTAATAAATGATGCTATATGTATATATACAATTTCTGTTGATCACTGAGGGTTCATATACATGTAAAGACCTTTGAATCTAGAAACAATTTCAGATTGCAGCATGGAAAAATATGGTCAAAGAACTGTTTGAGTATCCATGTTTTCCAATTTTTCCAGTTGTTTTTTAACTGTGTTTGGAGGGAGGGTAAACCTTGATGCATTTAAAGAAAGAAAATAATGGTAAAGTTAAGATGTATATTATACAGGCTTGAAACGACTGTACGATTGCAGAAAATAAACCTTTTATGTGTTTCAGTGTGAATGCTTAAAAAGGCACAGTCCAAATGTAATTAAGTTCTCATAATGTTGTTTACGACAGGTTGACAGTAAGGGCCTTGTGAAGCAGTCATCTTCCAGACATTGTCTGTCAGTCTTAAACCAACTGAATCAACAGAGGCTTTCCAATCAGTTCTGTGATGTGACTCTGCTGATTGAAGGAGAGGAGTACAAAGCTCACAAATCTGTCTTGGCAGCCAGCAGCGAGTACTTCCGAGAGCTGTTCATTGAAAAGGGAGCTGTCACGAGTCATGAAGCTGTAGTGGATCTGTCAGGTGAATTGTTGTGGGTTTTGAAGCTAGAAATCATAATATCCTAAGTAAGGGGTGTGGTATTTGATTCAGTCTTTTTTTGCGTGTTCAAGACAGCCACGTATTTTATTTTGCCTTTTTCTCGCTTTTGATCTCAAAGTATTTTGTGTGTGTTTTAATGCTAAAGCAGTTACTCTGGTTTTGCGTAATCTGATCTTCCATGTTAGATGGACATTGGGATTTCATCTTAAAATTTCTGAGAAGTTTCGAATTGATTTTTACATTGCTTAGGTGTGTTTCCTCCTTGTATAGTCACAAACATTAAAAAAGGGAACATAGTCAAATGCATGAATACATCAAGAGGGCATCTTGACTAGCTTCTTGGAGAAATCTTTAGCTGTGCAAATACTAAATTGTTTTCTGTGTCTGTAAAACACTATTATACATGTTTCTGCTTATTTCTCAGACCTTCTGGTACCTTCAAGGTAGGAGACCATCCTAAAATAAATATTTTAAAAATAGCTTTGTAGTAATGAAGAATACTGTACAGAACATATGCCTACTGCATTGCTTTTCCATTAGCTTCTTAACTGTGTCTACATGAACAACAGACATGCATGAACAATAGATATCTAGCATGATTGTCCAGAAGGTACCCCGAATTAAATATCTGATTTACAGTTTACAGAACTGTGGAAAGTTATGCCAAATGCTTGTTTTTAAGCATTTCTGTCTATAAATCCATATATTTTTTTTTCTCATTAGTCTCTTTCTTGTCTTATTTTTCTGCCATGCCAGTTGTTGCTTGAGTCTTGAGTACTTTCTGAATGTAGCATATCCAGAAAGAATTGGGTTAAATTAGGGTTATATTGTGGCTCTCCCAGCATCTTGAAACACTCTTCTAGAGAATTTTATAGAACCTCCGTTCTACTTACTGGAGAAGTTGTCTAAGCTTACTTCCACATAGAAAATACACTACAAGGATGCTTTTGTGTAAATTACTATTAATTGAGTCCCAGTGGAGAGGCTTCAATGTTACTTGCCAAGGGTGTTTCACTCTAAATTTCATCTTAACCATATCGAAGATGAATTGTTGTGTCCTTCATGGGATATTTTGATGTAATTCGGGGTCATCAGTGTTTGTTCTAATCTCTTGTTTTATTGCTTGTAGGGTTCTGCAAGTCCAGTTTCCTCCCTCTTTTGGAATTTGCTTATACTTCAGAACTAACCTTTGATTTCTGTAGTATGGCAGAAGTTGCCATGCTTGCCCGGCACCTCTTCATGTCAGAAGTCCTCGAAATCTGTGAAAATGTGCACAAACAGATGGAAGAGAAGCAAATTACAGTGTACCAAAAGGGAGGTATTCAAACAGTAGAGTCAATGCAAAACTTAGCAGAGCACACTGAAGTTGAAATGCAGCTCATGGATGGTGCTGAGCAACCTGAGCTCACAGCCAGTGAGGTGCCAGTAGCTGTGAACAGAGCTTCTTCCTCTGCTGGAACAGAGGAGGCAGCAGCACCCCAGCCTGACCTCCTGCCCCCAGAGCCTGCAAAGGCCACTCCAGATGATCTTCCAAAACCTGTGGAGCAGTGTGAAACAACTGAAAATTATGTCAAGATACAGTTGCTGGAGAGCATTGCAAACAGCACCGTGTCTTTTGTAGAGGCGGAGCCATCGGCTGTGGAAGTCACGGACACACAAAGTCTAATGGAAATCGATGCAGATCAAAATGAAAGTGGTAAAGCAAATGTGGACACGGATTCTGAAGACTCCTCAGAAACACTCAAGCAGACATATGGCAGTCAAAGTAAAGAACAGAGCATCTTAGATTTACAACCAGAAAGCCAAGATGATACTTACAAAAGCAAGCTACGTCAGCGTTCTGTTACTGAAGGGGGCTATATCAGATTGCATAAAGGAATTGAAAAGAAACTCCAAAATAGAAAGGCAAATCCTAAATCTGCAATACAGCAGGTATTCTATCTGTTTTCAGGCCTTTGATTCAAGACCAGTCTGAAAGGATTTTGCTGTTTCCAAGCACTCTCTGGGAAATGTTTTTCTTTATAGAGCAATTAACATTACTAAAAAACGAAAGTAACTTCCAAGATGTGACAGTTTTGCAAAACAAGAAGAACCCTGAACCAGACCAAACATTGGCGCCAAAATTCTTTCCATATTAAAGATCTTTCGAATGCTCAGTGACCTTAGCTCAGCTTGAGTATTTTCCCACAGCTTGGTTGGACAGAAGGTGTATCTTCTCCCTAAAATTCTGCAATAATTTGGAAATTTAATTCTTAATTAGCATGTGCGTATGTCAGTTGTAGACAAATGTATTTGCCTATTAGAAAAATGAGACCTATTAGAAAAGTAGACCTGTGAGTTCTATTAAGACTTGAAAACAGAGCATTGGGGATGAAAAATTGACATCCTAATTAGATCTTAAAACTTAGTCATGAGTCACATTAATGTAGTCCTTTGGATTGTGGTCAGTTAAAAAATGTTCAGAGAGCACTGATATTATAAACTCTAGCACTTGGACATATTAAGTGTTTAGTAATTGAAGAAGGTTTTTTCTGGGGGGGAGGAAGTGGGGTTTGTTGTTGTTATTTTGGGGGGTTTTAAATTAAGTGATGGTCTTAGTCTTTTCCTTTCAGGAGTTTTTCCTTTTCTAATGCCAATGAGCAGCTGACGTCATCTCACTGAGCATTAATACATCCACTTTTGTGACAGTACCTTTTGTCTTCCTGCATGTCAGCTAAATTTCTAAATCTGAAGTGTTAATTTCCAGGGGTGTTCTGTGAGACACTTACATACTAGAGCCACTAGTCCCCACCAGGAGGGTAGTTCTTTATCATTACAACACCCTTGTAAATATTAGGCTACTTTCACAGATGGACAAGTTAAAACCCAGATGTTAAAATGAGCACAAGCAAAGTAGTTGAGCAACCTATATATGGTTGTTGGAGAAGGACAAAGCTTTTTCCTGTTTTGAGAGAGGGAATGTCTGCCTTAACCTCAACTTTGCGGTTTTTAAATCTGACCCCTCGACAGATGAGAAGTGCAGACAGTGGCTGCCTATGGAAAAAAAGAAATTGATTTACCTAATTGCTCAAAATTAGGAACTCAGGACTAGGTTTCTGCTTTCCTAACTTATTTTATAGCTCTTAACATTTTTGTCTCATGTATCCCTCAACTCCCCCTCCATGGCGCTGGATGTCATATAAGTACTGGGAAGGAGACGCTCCCAGTTTTGATGCTGGGAGAGTAACAGGAAAGAGAGGCTGTAGGAAAAATGCTGCTAACTTCTGAATTACAGTAATTGCAGTTGGCATGGAGATATTTTGGATGAAATATGCTTTGTATGAACAGATTATTTTCCAAGCTCTTACTAATCATCTGGTGAACAAAATTTATTCTGTGGCTTTACAATTTAGCAAGTTTGTATCAGTTTTCAGAGCAACAGCAAAATTAAACAAACAAAAAAATTAAGATGTTGCCCCTGTGTTAAGTTTCAGTTTGGCTTTGAGATACATGGAAGGGCTGAAGGGCTAGAATGTTTGCAAAAACTGTTAAATATCTTATTTGTTGAGAGAACAGGAAGAGGAAATGAGGATACTTGTACTTTTTTCCCTTGCCTTGTTCTCAGAAACTTGAAGGGAAGATACCTGATACAGGAAATTTCAGCCTGGTCACATACAGTTTGACTTTTAAAGAAGTTGACAGCAAATTTCTACAAAGGAAAGCAAGATTAACAGCTCCAGGTAGCACTAACAATACTGCCTAACAAACCCACAAACCACTGGTAAAGCTGAGATGCTCTAAACTAGAGGAACTTTGCTTAAATACTGCATTTTTCTTACAGGTTCTTAATAACTCAGTTTTTGCTAGCTGGTAAAAATTAATTAGGCCACATTTTTTAATCTGATGACTTTTGTAGTAAAGCAAATATAGATGCTGAAAAGGGAAGTTTAGGAAAGGGTTGGAAAAGTTTGATAGATAACATTGTGACAGTACTTTGTAGTAAATCTGTAACTTAGCTCTCACTTAGCAGTTACTCAGGGATGAATAGTTAGTTACCTGTCTGTCTATAATTATAATCAGTTCATGGTTTCAAAACAAGACCAACTTTTCACCCACCATGAGATCTGTAGTTCTGTGTGAACTTAAACAGGATAACTTTCTAGTAACTAAGTAAACTGAGCAAAACCAGATGCAGTTATAGTAACGCACAGAAACATCAGCATTCAGTACTAATTTGCAGAGAAAGTATGAAATAGTGTAATAAAGTTCATTCAGGGTTTATGTTTTTCCAACATAGGTTGCTATGAAGCTGGTACAAAGAGGGAAAAAAATGAAACAGCCCAAAAGAGACACTATGGAAAATAATGAAGTAGAAGCTCAGCACAGATGCTCTGAGTGTGGAATGGTGTTCCAGCGGCGCTATGCACTTATAATGCACACACTGAAACATGAAAGATCTAAAGATTATAAATGTCCAGTAAGTTGGAGCTTTCTTGTTTATAAACCTCCCTCTTTATAAAAATTCATTCAGTAACAACATTAGTGATTATTTTTCTTGTATTGTTTTGATGCCTGTATTTATTTTCCTCACAGATTTAAGAGATGGATGTGGCCCTGATTTTCATGGGGTGGGGTAAAATGTGGTGCAGCCAGATGGCCTGACAGCACCGTATGAGTATGCTTGCTGCTCAAGACAGTGCTGGTGTGGGCATTACTTTTAACCTCACCAGTAAATATACAACTGTGTTTAGATTAGCCTAGAAGTTAGCCTCCCTGGGAAGCAATCAGTGGTTCTGTCAGTAGCCATTACAACTATTAATTAACCTGAGATAAAATGCCAGTTGGAGTCAGGTCATAAGCCTAGCTGATTGTGTTAATATACTTAAAACCTTTGAATACCTGTTTTAATAATTTTTGAATATTAAATGTGAAGTAAAGTTGTGATATTTTCTTCACAGTTGTGCAAGAAAGAATTCCAGTATGGTGCCTCACTGCGAGCACATCTTGTCCGGCACACTCGGAAGACTGAAGTGAACACTGCAGCTTCCAGTGTAGAAGAGACAGTCATGTCTTCTGTGAAAGGGAGAACTAAACGGCAGTTTATATGTGATATATGTGGGAGAACTCTACCTAAGCTCTATTCTCTCAGAATACATATGCTCAAACATACAGGTGTAAAACCACATGCGTGCAAGGTAATGAGAAAGTCCTTTTACTCTGATCAGATCAGTAATGTTTTCTTGCTATTTTAGTATTGACACTGTGTCCTAAGATTTAGATTGATTTAGGTAACTTCAGAATGCATTCCTGATAAAAATTATTGAATGAAATTGAATGAATAAAGTTCATAATTTTGTATCTAGAAGAGTGTCTGCAAAATCTGGTGCAAAATCATAGGTTTGACTGTCCTGATTCCCAAGAAATACAGAATGTTTGGTTGTGTTTAAACACCTATTACCAAACGTGTTTGTTTGGTGTGGGGTGTTTTTTTTTTTTTTCCATCCTATTCCACTGGATATGGATGATTTTTTTTTTAATTTTTTTTTAGGTTTGCGGAAAGACCTTTACATATAAGCATGGATTAAAAATGCACTTGGCTCTCCATGAAGTACAGAAACAGTTTAAATGCGACTTGTGTGAAAAGTCTTTTGTCACAAAAAGAAGTCTTCAGGAGCACATGAGCATTCATACAGGTAAGTGATGAGAAAGAAGACCCTTCTACTTTGGTTGGTTATTGCATGCTGCTGAACTTTAACATTGCTCTTCAGTGACAAAGGAACTGTTTGAAAAAAATAAATAGTAGTTTGTCCTTTTACTGGTCAGACAGCTGAAATAAAGGTAAGTGATCAAGTTACATTTGTTTTCTGGCTTACTTTACCGTAGCTTAATGTTATTATGCAGATACTCTGCGCAAGAACAGGGAATCATGGTTGGTCTGTCCCTATGTTTTTATGTACATATTAAATGCCCCTGTCATTTCAATCAGACAAAGATAGGCAACAGGCCGGAGTATTCTGGAGCGCTTACTTTCAGCCCATCCTTTCAGAGGAAAACATGCCAAGTTTAATCTCTGAGAATCTCCATATATATTTTATGAGATTTGCTGTACTAATACTGAAATTTTATCAAGCCTGGTACCTTGAAAGATCTTAGCATGTGAAAGATGACAATAATTTAATACAAGCAGAGTTTTGAAGTTGTATATGTAGGAAATGTCTGTGTTTCTTGCTAACCTGAGTTGGGCAGAATTAACAGTAAGAGACTTTTTCTTAAGATAATTTGTTCCAGAAATGAAGGAATTTATATAAGTACTTAGCATTCTGAAATAGATGAGTTGTAGCAGAAAACTTAAGGTGTTGTGCCACAAATTCAGGATGCAGGCCATCCATAACCAATACTGCATTGCTGGAGAAGTTGCATATTATATGAACACAGGCAGTTGGGTTTTCTTCCACACAAGAGGGCATTTTTTTAGGCTGTACACACGAGTAATTTGGTAGCTGCAAGGTTATACCTGTAGTTAAAATTTGCAGTAAAGTAATTGCCTGTAGCATGGGGAACAAACAAGAGGAATTAGAGATGTGTGCATGTCTATGGGGGATAAGATACAATAGGTATCACAGAAACATGGTGGGATGGCTCCTATGACTGGAGTGTTGGAATAGAAGGTTACAGGCTCTATAGAAAAAACAGACCTGGCAGATGGGTAAGGGAAGTTGCTATTGACGTTAGGGACTCTCTGGATGAAGCGCTCTATAGACAGATAAGAACAGCCTCACACTTGCAGGCCCTTGGGCTCATGGGGGACTTCAGCCATCCTGATATCTGTTGGAGGGACAGTATGGCCTGGCACAAGAAATCTAGGAGGTTCCTCGATTGTGTGAAAGACAACTTCCTTCTTCAAGTAACAGAGGAGCCGACAAGGAGAGGTGCCATGCTTGACCAACTGGAGGTGCTCACCAACAGGGAAGGGCTGGTTGGAAATGTGACACTCCAGGGCAGCCTTGGTTGCAGCGATCATGAGATGGTCAACATTGAGATCCTCAGGACAGTGAGAAGAGTGTGCAGCAAGCTCACTGCCCTGGACCGCAAGACTTTGGCCTCTTCAGGAACCTGCTTAGTAAGGTTCCATGGGTTATAGCCCTAGAGGGCAGGAGGCCCCAAGACTGTTGGTTGGTATTCAAGGTTTACCTGCTACAAGCTCAGGAGTGTTGCACCCCAACTAGAAGGAAGTGCAGCAGCAGGGCCAGGAGACCTCCTTGGATGGATAAGGAGCTGCTGAGGAAACTTCGAGGGGAAAAAAAGAGGCTTATAAAAGGTGGAAGAAAGGACAAGCCTGGGAAGAATGCAGGGATGTTGTCTGGGAAATTAGGGACCAGGTTAGGAAAGCTAAGGCCCAGTTAGAATTAAACTTGGCTAGGGATGTTAAGGGTAACAGGAAGGGATTCTATAGGTATGTAGCAAATAAAAGACTAGGGACAGTGTAGGCCCCCTCTGGAAGATACAGGGAGAACTGGCTACAAAGGATTTGGAGAAGGCTGAGGTTCCTAATGGCTACTTTGCCTTAATCTTCACTGGCAAATGCTCTGACTGCACCACCCAAGCCTTGCAAGGGAGGTGCAGGGACTGTGAGAATGAAGACCTTAGCCCGCTGTAGGTGAGGATCTGGTTTGAGGCCATCTTAAGAACCTGAACATGCACAAGTCCATGGGACCTGGTAAAATCCACCTGCAGGTCCTGAAGGAGCTGGCAAATGAAGTTGCTAAACGACTGTCCATCACATTTGAAAAATCATGGCAGTCAGGTGAAATTCCCGATGACCGGAAAAAGGGAAATATAACCTCCATTTTCAGGAAGGGGAAAATGGATGACCCAGGGAACTACAGACCAGTCAGTCTCACCACTGTGCCTGGCAAAATCTTGCAGCAGATTCTCATGGAAGGCATGCTAAGGCACATGAAAAACAACAAGGTGGTTCGTGGCAGCCAGCATGGCTTCCCTAAGGGGAAATCCTGCCAGAGCAATTTGATGGCCTTCTATGATGGGGCTACAGAACTGATGGACAGGGGTAGAGCAGCTGATGTCATCTACCTGGGCTTGTGCAAAGCGTTCAACACTGTTCCACACGACATCCTTGTGTCTAAATTGGAGAGACATCAGTTTGATAGATGGACCACTCGGTGGTTAAAGAACTTGCTGGATGTCCTCATGCAAAGAGTTGCGGTCAATGGCTCAACGTCATCCTGGAGAACAGTAATAAGTGGTGTCCCCCAGGGATTAGTGTTGGGACTGGTTTTATTCGACACCTTCATCGCTGACATGGACAGTGGGATTGAGTGCACTCTCAGCAAGTTTGCTGATGACACCAAGCTGTGTGGTTCGGTTGATACGCTGGAGGGAAGGAATGCCATCCAGAGGGACCTTGACACGCTTGTGACGTGGGCTGATGCCAACCTCATGAAGTTTAACCATGTCAAGTACAAGGTCCTTACACCTGGTTGGAATAATCCCAGGCACAGCTACAGATTGGGCAGAGAACAGATTCAGAGCAGACCTGTGGAGAAGGACTTTGGGGTGTTGGTCTATGAGAAACTTAACATGAGCCAGCAGTGTGAGCTTGTAGCCCTGAAAGCCAACCATATCCTGGGCTGCATCAAAAGGAGCGTGACCAGCAGGTCAAAGGAGGTGATCCTGGCCTTCTACTCTGCTCTCGTGAGACCTCACTTGGAGTATTGTGTGCAGTTCTGATGTCCTCAACATAAAAAGGACATGGAACTGTTGGAAGAAGTCCAGAGGGGGGCCACGAGGATGATTAGGGGACTGGAGCCCCTCCCGTATGAGAACAGTCTGAGAAAGTTGTGTCTTCAGCCTGGAGAAGGCTGCATGGAGACCTCATAGCAGCCTTCCATTATCTGAAGGGGGGGCTATAGGGATGCTGGGGAGGGACTCTTCATTGGGGACTGTAGTGATAGGACACAGGTGAAGTTTAGATTGGATATAAGGAAGAAGTTCATTACTGTAGTGGTGAGGCACTGGAATGAGTTGCCCAAGGAAGTTGTGAATGCTCCATCCCTGGCCGTGTTCAAGGCCAGGTTGGTGTTCAACCCCCTCCACGTCAGGGGGTTGGAACTAGATGATTTTTAAGGTCCTTTCCAACCTTAGCGATTCTGTGATTCTATGATTCTAATTTAGAGGTGCTGCTTCCCCCTCTGTGTATTACATTGGCACATACAAAATGCACTTAAAAATTCCATATGTGTGTAATTAAACCAGTATATCTTTGTAACATGGGTACTTAAGAGAAATTATATGAGAAGAAAAAACAGTCTCGCAAAGCACTCTGACGATATGGAGGCCTGTCTTTTTAACATGTTTTGTTTTGTTTTTGTTAGGCGAATCCAAGTATCTTTGCTCCATCTGTGGAAAATCTTTTCACAGGGCATCAGGACTTAGTAAACATATAAAGAAACACCAGCCAAAGCCTGAAGTTCGTGGATATCAGTGTACTCAGTAAGTTGGTTGGTGGTATTTTTGGTGGGTTATTTTTTTCTTGCTATTAATGATCCCACTAATGTTAAAGATTAAAAGCGGCTCCTTGTTGTAGCATGAAAGTGTTCACTGGGCTGGAGTAAGACTTTTAAAGCATAATATAAAAAAGATTCACTTTTGTTACTACATGAACTGCCTTTTTTTTTTTTTTTTAACTGTTACATAGCTCTAGTTTTATACAGTTGTTTTCTAATGAGTGTGTTTGCACTTGTAGCTGTAATCAGTAGTGATGTGATTTTAAAGCTCCTGTGTTGGACAGATAGGGAGGTAAGCTCATAGGCAAAAGGCTATTGAGAGAAGGGTTCTTGTCACCTTTTAATGTGATAGCTGGTTTCAGTTTAATTTGAAAATTTCCTGTGCAGTCTAAATATCATGTCCTGCAATTTACACTTCTTTAGCAAACAGCATAAATTAAGACTCACTGACAGCTGCAGTTAGCTTGATCATAACTGCATCCATCAGTGCTATATAGTGTTACGTGATGAAGAGGCAAAGGAGGCAACTATGTCTGAAGAACAGAACTTCTTTCAAAGGGAGAAAGCATGTCTTTGATTTGACTGACCTCTGTAGTTTCCATACCAAGATGAGCTAGTGATTTGTAATTTCACATATTTGTACTATGTCAAGGTAGAAATGAAGGAAAACTAGTAGTTCACCTGGATTTAGATGTATGCAAGCAGCAAGCTAAAGAATGAGCATCACTAGTTTTGGATGCTTGCTTGTAGGATTCTGAGTTTGTTTTTTAACTTCTTAAAAAATAATTTTGAGCATTTCAAACAACAGATCCCAATTATCTTTATCAAGAATTAATCCGCACTGGTTAAGGGAAGAAACAGCTGCTACCATAGGAATTTATGAGAACCGTATAACACAAATTCCTGATGTCTTCCACTTGGTTTGCCTTTCATTATTCCTCATAAAAATAACATGAAGAATGTGGTTACCTGTAAAAGACAGAAGTGTTTTGGGAGTCCTAAAGTTATATTCTACACTTTCAGATAAGCTGCTGTTCCTTTTAATTTTCCATAGTTTGGAAAGAGATCATGCTGATGATGCAATCAGTGTTGTCTTCTCAATGGCTTCAGTTGCCATTAAAGAAGAGGGTTCCAGTGCCTTTGAAATCAGGATCACCAAGATCTACCTTATATGGGATGCTAAAACCTTTACTGTTACAGGTGTGAAAAGAGTTTCTATGAAGCCCGAGATCTTCGGCAGCATATGAACAAACACTTAGGTGTGAAGCCATTTCAGTGCCAGTTCTGTGGAAAATGTTACAGCTGGAAGAAAGACTGGTATTCTCATGTCAAGTCTCATTCTGTCACAGACCCTTATAGGTAAGAGGAAATTCATTTAACAACTGAAATATACTAATCAGTATGAAGTTATACGGAACTACAGCCAGTCAACAAGGAACTTCCAGTCCTTTGTTAAAGTACCAATTGATTGATGTTGACTGGGGTCTTGGTCCAACTATTAACCTGCTGGTACAGTCCTAGAACTAATACATATGAAATTGTAAGAGAGTAAATATAATAAAGTTAGAAATGCTTTATACGTGATCTCACTTTTCTAGAATGGTAAGTGGAAGCTTTGTGGCTGTAGCTCCATCCAGCAAGATTATTTCTAATTACGGAACATTAATTTAATGGGACAGTGTTCCTATTAAACTTTGTCTACTATAATTAAAGTGCATTTTAAAAAGCATAACATAAGCATAGCATAATGGTTTCAATAGATTTCTCAACACTTTTTAGGTGTAATGTATGTGGTAAAGAATTTTATGAGAAAGCTTTGTACAGAAGACATGTAAAGAAAGCCACACATGGTAAAAAAGGAAGAGCAAAACAAAATCTGGAACGAGTTTGTGAGCATTGTGGAAGAAAATTCACGCAGCTCCGGGAATATAGGAGACACATGAACAATCATGAAGGTATATAGAAAACAAGTAGCCATGACATCCCCCATTCCCTGAAAACATGGAGAAAGGGGTAATTGTTTCTTGTAGTCTATGTATGTCTTGTGTTGCAAGAACCATGGAAGTTCTAACAGATTTAAAGCAGCTCTTAACAGTTCTATGCTTATCCTGGCTAGTTAACTTGCTTCCAGTGATTCCCAGAAGTTGGGATCTTCCTAAAGCTGCAGTTGCACAGAGGGACAGTGACAATTAGTCCTTAGAACTTTAAGAGGAACTTTTTTAGAAGTGATTAAAAGATGTATATCTGGCAAAGAATTGGATGAGTAAAACATTCCCCAGTTTAAAAGGTGCACATAGCTAGTAAAATATTCTTCAAACAGCAGAATGATTGGCCTGAATTTAACAAAAGGACCACTGTTGGAAACTGGCCAACTTCTTGATTTATAAGAAGCAGCAAACTATGTGATGTTTGAGGAAAATATGAAAACATTTGATAATTTAAAAAAAAAAAAGTGCATTTTTAATTTAGATGTGAAGTATGATATTTGAGTATTTGGTTGTTCTAGCTGTGTTGGAAGTCTAGATACGCTCCCATCTCAGGGAAAAAAACCCAACACTTTTATGAAGAACGTGTCCTTTTAAGGAGCTGTTATGAGTAAATCTAATAGCTGTCTCGCTATTGAAATAGAGATTTTGTGTTTGTTCCTAAACAGAGAGTGTCCTGTAATAGATACCTAGCCTAAGTCCACATTAACTGTTATAGAGGAAAAGCCATCACTGAAATAGTTTGTCACCACCCACATACCTTGTTAGATACTGCAGACCACAGAGCTCAGACCTGATAAGGGAGAATAAAATTATACAAGTATCAGGTGCAGTATCTGAACATACATGCTGTGGAAGAGGAGGGGAAAAAACTATAGGTGGAAAAAACTAAAGTGCTGGTGTTTGATGAGAGGTTATAGAAACATTTCTAGTCACCTTTTGGTTCTGTAAATCTAAGTGCCAAATTCCATGAAGTAAAACATGATTTTCAGAAAGCCATCACTAGCAAAAAATAGCTAGAATTTCATTAAGTGGTATGCACTTAAAATAGGTGAGAAGCTGCACTAAAAAGAATTTTGAAAAGAGAAATTTTTTAGAAGTAAAAGGTTAGATTGAGCAGAGCACTTGTGGAAAATTTTTTCACTGAATGTAAGATTTTGTGTTTGCATTATATTGTAGCGTAGAAATGACAAACAAGATCTCCCGCTTACATGAAAAAAGTGAAAGGATTTCTTCCATCCTTTTATGCTGCTGTTTTCCTGTTGCTTCTTACCAACACTCATATTTTTATGAACTTCTGACAGTGGGTTTTTCCTTGCTTTCCCTTTGAGAGCAGGTGTGAAACCATTTGAATGCCTCACCTGCGGAGTAGCCTGGGCAGATGCACGTTCGCTGAAGCGCCACGTGAGGACGCATACCGGGGAGCGACCGTATGTCTGCCCAGTGTGCAATGAAGCTTACATAGATGCCCGGACACTACGGAAGCACATGACCAAGTTTCATAGGGACTATGTACCCTGCAAAATCATGCTGGAAAAAGATACCCTTCAGTTTCATAACCAGGGGACACAGGTGGAGCATGCCATCAGCATTTTGGCAGCAGACACGCAGGAACAAGAAACTGAGATCAGTGTTGGTGGTAGTGAGATTGAGGCTGTGGTAGTGACAGGAGAGACACTCGAAGCCATCGAAGCAGTTGCAGCTACCGAGGAATGCACATCAGTCTCTACTCTTTCTGACCAAAGCATCATGCAGGTGGTAAATTATGTACTAGCACAACAGCAAGGACAGAAAATGGCTGAAGCGATGCAGGGCATCAAAACTGTAGAAGTGGAAGTGGCCCATGTTACAAAGACAGACTGAATATAGTGTACAAGAGAGCAAGAAGGGTGAGGTCTTACCATCTGTAAGAGACAAGTAATTAACTTGTTATCCAAGGCTTACTATGAGGCCTGTTTTCAAGTGGTTACTCCCCAGTGCTGAACATCTTGGTGATGAAATACCACACCATATATTATGGGGAAAATGTTAAGATGCTTCAGCATGAGCCAAGGCTCTGAAAAGCTAGGATTTCTACACTTGCTGTAAGTATGAAAATAAAAATAATGTTTTCTGTGTCATGGAGTAAGTACCATGCTGAAACTTTAAAAAAATGAAAAAACATTTAAAGAGCCTGGACTGAATATTAGAAATGTACAGTTACTGGTGTCTTTTTTTTCTACTACTGTTTTTATGTGCATTTCATGAAGTTTGTGAGCATATTGCCTGTATTGGATGCTGTCTGTTTACTCCCCAAGACACAGGGATGGCAGAATGCTTCATGCAGTGTGAGCTTCATGCAACATACAGAAAATCCAAGGCTTTCCTTTGGGTAGATGCACCAGTGGCAATGTGAATCCCAGTTTTGAAGAACTTATTTAAATTCCAGGTTGTGGGTGGCAGGTCCAAAGTTCAGTATGATGTTTTGCAGATACTGGGCAGGGGTCTACTGAAGCCTGAGGAAGTGGTTTTCTGGGACAGACTGAGTTTCCATTGACCAGAGGACAGCCTGCTGCAGCGACACTGCTTAGAGAATTGAACTGCTTTTTATTTGTGAGCGAGGTGCTTACACTTCAGCCTCTGTGCATAACCATGTTCAGTTTAATGGCACCTGGTTGCATAAATGAAATTATCACCTGCATTGTTGTAGGTATCCAGAGGGCACAATCTAATGATGGATGTTTCTGATTTTGCATTATATTTAATATAGAGACTCTCAAATTAAAAAGGTCTAATGGTTCCTACCTGGACTTCTTTGGTATATTTATATTCACATCTTGTACTGACAGGAGGAGCCCTGCTAATTCCCAAATGGAATACGTAGAAGTATCAGGATAGAGAACTATGAAAATGCTAATACGGGATAAAAATCAAATTTGTCTCAAGATTACCAGTGTCCAGAAGACCTTATTGCTGCTGCTGTAAGAAAATACTTCTAGGACAAGCTAATTACCCAGTGCTACATCACATAGATGGAAAAATCCTCACTGGGTGTTCCTGTGAATAAGCATGAAACACAGCCTTGCTTGGCACAAGTTTAAATGCCCCTGATTGAATACCACAACAGTGCACATCTAAATACCACATAAATGCACATCTAAATCTGTACAGGGTGTACAGATTCCTTCATTGCTGGTTGCTTGGATGTTTAAGCAAACAGCATATCTGTCAGGGTAACTGAAGGTGCTATGCACATGAACAAACAAGTGTAGTTTTTAACTTGTTCTTGGTCTATAGTATTATCAGATGTTTTGCAGCTTTGACAGCAGCAAGGTACCCAAGGAGCCAGAAGCCTGTGATACTGCAGGATGAACATGCATATAACTCTTCTACCCATGAAATGGATACACTGAACAAAAGTGAAGCAAACCCTATGAGGAAGCAACCACCTCATTTGAATTAGTATTTCTACCTTTCATCTTACGTAACTATTTCAGTACCTGTCTACTAAATTACAGAATGGACTGTACTTTTTATACTTTGCAAGCATGTAGATAAGCAGTTGTTGAAAACTTTTTAAGCAATATGCAGCTGAAGTTCCTGTCTGGAATATGAATTAATCTGTAGATGACCATTTCAAAGGTCGCAGTCTTCCTGCAGAGAAGTAGTTATTTATGCATTCTGCAGCCCTTGACAATTGTGTTCTTTTCTAATTACCTAATGGAGTAAAATTAAAATGATTACTTTAATAATAAAATGCAAATACTGCTAGCTCCGACTCTTGGATTTTTGTATGCACAAGAATCTGGAGACAGCCATCCTGCTTAAATTAAACTACTGCCATTATGAAAACATTTAAAAGAGCACTAGGTAAACTTCAAAGCTTATTTCAGTGTTTGTATCTTACAAATAATTATGTATTACTGAAGTGAGGAAATGTTCAAGGAAGAATAGCTGCAAAAAGTGCTGGAACGTTATTTGTATATTTACTGTGTTACCTTACAAAAGGAATATTACTGGCACCTTAATGGAATTTTTGGTGCATTTATTTATTTGCCCAACCTATGGAAGAAGCTGAAGTGAATCTGAATTTCACAACCTTGTTTACCTAGTGTAAAAAAGCTTTTTTAACTGATGTGATGGCCTGCCATTTGACAACTGTAATAACCAAACAAATCACAACTAAGCTTGTTTCCTAAGCTCAGCCAGGAATGTCAAAGCTGACTGTTGCGGCACCCCTTTCCTAGCACAGTGTGCCTTACCCTTTCAGAACAGCATGAGGTAAGTAGGGAGTGTCACTCTTCGCTTTGCTGTTCCAGTCCGTGTGAAGTTGCCTTATGTTTTCCTTTGAACTTCAGTTTGTAAGTTAAGATATTCTCTACTCTTCTGCAATCTCTCTAAAGTCAGGCTGCAAATACGCAATTAACATTATTTATTTAAAAAAAAATAAAGTTCATGTGAAGTGTCCATTTATAAAGTATTCCTGGTGAATTCCTGTACATAATGAATTTGATTTGTACATTCTGCTGTTTTTATTTAGTGTTAGATGTATAAAGTTATGGTTATTTCTAAGTCATTAAATAAATAGAGTTTTGCTATGAATTACTCTTTCAAGCAATTTTTTTTGGCAGGAAAAGTGTTACAAAATTATTTACTTCTCAAGCATTTACGTAGATAATGTCTGAACAGTTACATTACCACCTACTTTTCAATTTTTGCTTAAGGTTCAAACCATTAACTTGTATGAGGAAAGGAAACATGCTGCCCTCCTAAATTGTGTCAGACCATGGCTATACAAGAGCATGTGTTAACCAAACACATCCTGAAATCACTTTGGCTGCCAGACCTCTTAGTAGAGGATGTGACCCTGCTACCCAGCTATACCCAGTTTAGTTTGGTTTGCATGTTATTTCTCTTGGCTTGGATTTCTGCACAAGTCTGTCACCCCCAAGCAACCATCATACAGCACTTATCTTGGGATGGATATTTGAGCAGGCAGGAGCTGTGGCCTAGAAGTTGTCCTCCAGCATCGTTCTCCTCAATGAAAGATGAGCCGTACAGCTGTCTCCAGGCAGGGGAAGTAACAGTGTCCTGTGCTTTTTTGTTTGCTGTTAGAGCAACTTTAAGGTAAGGTCGTTGTTGCAGAAAGGCTGATAACTGTTTTGTGGCTCATTCTGATTCCTAGGGGAAATGCTGGGAGTGTTTTAGCCACAGAGGTAACCAAGCTAAGTGGGAAATGTGTAATTAAATAAAACCAGGGGTTTCAAAAGGTTGGGTGCTGAAGAACTAATGTAGCCTACCACTGAACAACTGTTCTCAACACCAATGCACCTACAGATGAAAAACAGCAAAAAGGGAAGTGTGGATAATTTCCCCCACTTTGTTTCCACTAGAGACAGGACCATAAAGGAAGAGCCATGAATTTCTACAGCACCAGAAGTATGTATACATCTGATAACAAGGGCCAGTCTTGCAGCTGCTGCTGACCACATGGTGGGAACCTAGCGCTGTTGTAGCAAACTCAAGCCTTTACTAGAGACCTGTTCTCGAGCAGAAGCATTCCATTTTTAGAAGGCAAGAGGCTGCAAGCTTACAGGTCCAGAGTGACTTTGAAAGGACTTTTCAGAAAACAACAGTTTATCTTGCACCTGCATGAGGAAGTTCTGTGATGAGAGCAGTATTTCTTGTCTTGGGTAAAGCACCCTGCCTTACAGACAGTAATATCAGTATTAAACTTACTCACTGCTTTTATATGTACTGTAGCCCAAGATCTTCCTGTTGCAGCCCTAAATTTTATATGTGAACATGACCATCTTAAGCATGCATCTGAGTAAGAAAAACAAAGCACAGCCTAAGATCCATGCTAGTTTTGCAATTACTCTTTGTGCTACGCTGCTCTGTTCAGTGCCTACAACTCTGTACAGCGGGGGTTGATGTCCATTTGGACATGAATGGCTACCCCACACTCCTTTCACAAAAGCAAAGGCAGAATTATGATTTTCAAACAAGCTACTGGGCATCAGCCAACACTTCATAATGCAACTGCTGTGTTTACAGCTTATGGGAAGCTGGGGGAGGAAAGGAGAGATAGTTACGTTTTTATTATGACTTCCATTACCTTAGGTTAATAAACTTGTCCTGCAAGGAAAACAAACACAGGCTCATGTTAAAAAGTTTCAGCTGAGCTCCTACTACAGAACCATAAACACTTCATTTGTCCATCTGTCTCACTGAGAAATTAAATCCCAGGAACCAAATTTAAGAACTAAGTCACAAGCATAGCAAAGGCTTTTAAGACCTCACTATGTGCCACTGAATCAAAAAATCCATACTGTGATTGCTGGCTGTGAGAGTCACTGCCATGCTTCCCTGCTCCTCCTGGCCTAAAGAGTAGCTGTCATATACGTGTGTGTACCACAAAAAGCACATGCTGCAGAGTTTAAGGGTTGGTTTGCTTTGGTACCTAAACCTTGCTTGGACTCCCAGGACTTCAGTCTTTTAAATGGAAGTTCATAACCCAAAATGTAACACACTGAGCACAGAGTTCAAGTGTAACAGTTTATGCTCCATGCTTTTACTCCTATGGGTAATAATGCATCTACCCTGACGCAATGGATCCACATTATTAAACACAGCAGCTCTCCTAATTAAGCACTACTTAGTTATTAAGATGCCAACAGATCAAAATTAGAGAACAGTAAGAGATCCATTTGTTAATAAAACCAGAGGAAACGAGGTGTTAACAGGATAAAGTAAAAACTAAATTAATTGTCCAATTCTTACAGCATTTTAGTATCTCTTGGCAGAGGAAATAAGACAAATTGTGGTGATTTTAGAACTACTCAGCATTCCTCAGTTTGTAACCTTATAATGAATTAAAACGACCCAACCTCTTCATGCAGAAAACGTTCTAAGGCTACTAACTACAAAGATAAAAAGCCTTTTGGATAGTCTATTGCTTTTCCAGATTTATCTCATGGCAACCTAGAAAGAGTTCTAGTTACAACAGTGATTGCCTGTAGTTTAAAACCTGCTTGGCTCTTCAGAAAGCAGAAGCCATCATTTTCTTGAAACTTGATGTGTCCTCTGTATCTCCTCACAAAGCCAGCTTTGGTAAAGCCACCCCCTGGGCACAGTCACGTCAGTTCTGACAAAGGGTGTTCCACAAAGCTGGCAGAGGCAGAGATGGAAGTACAACAGGCCTGAAGGCAGCTGTGGCTGCTGCTGTGCTGGTCACATTAGGACACTAGTTGGTTATGTCAAAGTTGGCTGAATACCAATAGTATTCAGGTCATCTATGACAGGTGAGTAAGCCCATGAAATTATAACAGCATCCACCAGTTATTTTGCAGATAGGCTGGTTGGGAACTTCTTCCTGCTGATAAAATACTCACCTGGAAAATCTGTAGTGTACCCCCTACACTTTTAAATGAATGAAATGAAGTGTGCAAGGGGCTCCACCCAGGAGTGTTTGAAACACTGCCATTAGTGGCTGGCAGCACTGGTTCAGGGATTATTTACTTACATTATTTTAATATAGTTAGCATGGAGTTTGGCTCCATTCACAGCCCAGCAGGCTCAAAAGCAGCCTAGCTACACGGTAACACAGAGAAGGTTACTGCCTAACTACTTACATCTTCATCTAGTATCTTGGATGTTTTGCAAGCTGCTCAGATGCTAAGCAAAGCTTTAGTGCTAAGAAAGCGTAAGTCTTCTGAGGTAAACCTGCACAAGTTAAACGGGCAGACATTTCAACCACTGCTAGATATACACATACCTTGCTGTGCTAAACAGGTAAAGGTCTCAGCAGATCTCCTGGAAGCACTTAAGACAGCTAAACCAAGCAGCCTACCCTGAGGTTTAGAATTTTCGAGTCATCTTAGAAAAAAAAATAATACAAGACTACCTTCATGCAAAATCCATGGTTACTATAACAAAAGCCTGAAACTTCAAGTGAGTTCTAGCTAGCATGTGCCTTGATGACACTTCTCTGATCAGTTCTTTCCTGCAAGCATCAGACATTAAACACCAGCAGACATCCCTGTAGCTACAAAATTAGCTTGTGAGACACTTGGTCCTGAGTGGACTGAGGCCATCCTGATGGATTTTCTTCATGAAGCACTGAGGAACAGAACTCACGCACTGAAACAGGATCCCTATTGAGATGTAGAAGCTGCCACAGTCTCTCACAAGGCCTAGGATTATTTATTGACCATGGCAGTAAGCAAGATAAATATAACTTTTGCTCTCTCACTTGCACGGAAGGCATTTCCTAGCATGTCTGCTTCTCTGTCTAGCAACTTCATAAAGGATTTTGAAGCACCAGGAAATTATGTTAACAGGAATGTCTACTTCAGCCAAAGATGTGGAAGATGGTGGCAGTAGGCTGACTAAGAACGAACAGGTCTCAGTCCTCCTCTTATTGTTACTCAGTTTCGTTTTGCTTTTTCCTAATACAAGTGACCAAGACAGCATCAAGCAACTACTAAGGAGCAAGATAAAACAGTTATTCACTGTGAATTACCACTATCTTAAAGGGATTTATTTTGACAAACATAACCACAGGTGATAAAAAGAAGTGAAAAGTAAAATGCTTCATTTTGCCTTGCCTAGTTCCAGTAATGCTCAAATCAGTTTTGGAAGTCCTGAAAGTCAGTTTTGAGAGTGTTGTTTTTGTTCTAAATAAACCAAAGATTTCTGCTCTGAAAAAAAAAAAAAAGTATACATTTTTATGTTACGTTTATAACAAGGCTTTAAAAGAAAATAGTTACAGGTATTCAACTGCATCAGACTTCAAAAGAAAAAAGATTACACGTACAATACAAAAATACAAAAAAATATGTTTTAGAACTTACAAACTCAAAAGTCTAAATGGTCAGAGCTTTCCTAAAATAATAATACTAAAAGTAAAAAATACACTTCAAGATGCATTTTCCTTTCTGCACTCGCAGGTTCAACTTTAGCATTATGAAAGTTTTTAAAGGGAGGATGAAAGAAATTAACATTTTGAATTTCATGACCAGTTCCAGGCTGGAATTAATTTAGTAGCTGACACTATCAGGTATTTGAATTAAAAAAGAACCATATGCTTGTTTGGAGAGAAGGGGTTGTTATTGCTGTTGGTAACTTTCCGTTTAACTAGTTCTGCTTGTAAAATGTTTTAATATACAATCTAAATTAGACTGAAATTTATACACTTGTTATTAGGTCTGAAATCCTACAGCACCATTCTGCAGTATGACAGGTAGGAAATTAAACTGAGCAAACTAATGTCATCGTTGACAATTGCTACAAAAGGCAGGTGGGTAGGAAAAGGCTGAGCTTCAGTTCTGAAGTTGACTCTTGTTAGAAGCTTTAGGAATGCAAATACAGTAATCTTCTCTAACCTGATAGTGTCCACTGTGGTCACCAGCATCAAGGCATTTTTTTTCAAATGGCAAGACAGGGAAAGTGCATCTTTTCATTTTTTCATACTTAAGCAGTGAGTTACCGATTTTGGTGTGGCTTTTATTCCTTCTAGGCATCTTAAAGAAAGAAAAATATTTCAACCAAACGTGAAGCTTAATGTACATTAGCTTGTCTTTTTGGTGGTGGCTTTTGTGTACCACATTGAAATGCTAACAAGTACTACTTGAGGCTAACGATTTAAGAGGAGCACACTGAAAATACTGATTTACCTTTGTAGTGAATATTCTTTACAAACTGTATCTAATATACAGACAAGACCCATATCCTGAGGATGAAACAGGCCACAGAAGGTAACACATCCTACATGAAGTCTTAAAATTAGAGCTTAGTTACCAGAGCCACTCAGAGCAACATAATTCCTAGTTTGCAGAGACACAACAAAAGGTGACTGCAGGGAGGAAAAAATCCAGGTTCTATTTCCTGCATAAGTTTATATTCAAATTAATAGTCCACTAACACTTCTACAACAAGACAACGCTGACTCTCTTTAGAAGTACTGCAGAGTCAACTGCTTCTCTTGTTATAAAGAGGGAGCCAGAAGTGAGAATGCAAAAGGATTCAATGTTAACCTGATTAAAGAGACAGTAACCTTTTTCATCCACCTTAACTACTCATTGACCAAAACCAGAAAAATAGAATAAAAAAAATTAAAAAAAATCTTAAAAAGGTACCACTCCAGTTTCTTTATTATCTGTAACCTTTTGAAACTAATCACATGGAACTACAAAATTAGCAAAGGCCTTGAAATCTGTATACAAAACATAAATTACCTCTAATTTCAAACTCATTTATTAGTGTACCACTCAAACTCTTAAAAAAGTGGCTCCAAAGATAGTCTTATAACATTCTTAAAAAAGGAAACTGTTCCTTTAACATTACACCCTCCCCTCCCCCTAAACACCCAACTCTCAATCCACATCATTTAGTTATTTTCTTGGTCATGGACATTTCCAAGATGAGATTTTATATTTCGTTCCCATAGCTTCTGGTTGTCAGAAAACCCATGCTTTCCTTTGTTGAAGGAATTTGGTCCTGCTGAGGTTGGTGTATCCCTGTAGAAAGTAAAACAAGATCAGTTAAGACAGTCAGCTCAACTATAGCAGTTTGTGCAACATGACACTGAAACCACCAATTTCAGGTCCAACCTGCCACCAGAAACTACCATGCATTTATTTCCCTTACATGAGGAGTCCTCTCTATTAGCACCTATAATTTGGCCACAGAACTGATCTTTATGTGGCACATCAAGACAGAGCAAAACGATGGGCCAGCAGAGGAAGTGGGAGGGGCAGTAACTGCTGCTGGTTCTGAAGAATTTGTTGAAAGCACTACAAAATCAAGGATTCAAAATTGCTCAAGGAGAAAAGAAATCCCACTGAACAGCAGTGAACCTCCAGGGGACTGATTTTAAAAGCAATCCGTCATGATAAACACCTTTAAAATATACATGCTCAAAATTCATCCCTAACTTAAGTGAAGCCTCCTCTGAAAATACCAAAAATTTGAGACTATAGGAGCAATCCTAAAATAAACAGACAAGCAGAAGAATTACATTGATTTGTGTTAAAAGCAAACAAGTTATTCTTTGTTTCTCTGAAAGAGATGATTCTGATCTTCCCCTTGCACAGAAGTTTAAAAATCTGACCAGACTATCCTACTTCAAGGCAATTTATAAAACAGGCAACTAGGAGACAAAGTTTAGCAGCGAGCAGGAACTCCCACCCATTACCTTTCCAAGAAGAACACAAACTTCTATTTAATATAGAAACACTCTCCTCCTCAAAAAGAAGGCAAATAGGATTCAAAGTGCAAATGTAAATGTGCTACCTTAACCTACAGCGGAACATTTGAAAATAACTGTATTAACATTTTCTTGCTTCTTGAGAAAACCTTTCTGATCTTAGTCGACCTTCCTATATTTCTAAGCCATCTGCAAGATCTGATCCATGCTGCAGGAGGTATTTTTATGCACTCACCCTTTCCCAAAACCACAGTTAAAAGCTGACCTACCTTCCAATATTCTTCATGCGCATCTTAGCTTCTGGAGGCATTTCTTCAGGTTCACTCTACAGACAGAAAGGAGATTAAAGTGTGGCTGGGCACTACCTTTTGAACATTTCAAATGCCTGACAAGATAAAGTACAGAGTACAGCCCTATGGAAAAGCAAAATGACTTAGGACAAAACAGAGGTTTGACATAAAGAAATACAAGTTCCTTTGCTCACCTCTGTGTAAGAAGGATCAGTAACATGACAATAACATATTAAGCAAAACAGAAGCAGCACAACTTTTCTTCACCCTCCCTTTTTATTAAGTCCAAAGAAAGCAACCGTTAATTCAAATTATGTGGGCACCTCATTTTCAGGGAAAACTTATGAACACTTTAATGATTTCTTGAGCCAGTGCAGAGCTACAAAGTTGTATATTCTTAAAGTGAAACACAGGAGATGTTTCTGGGTTGAAAATCCCTGACATGTATGTAAAGAACCTTAAATGATCCACTCTCTCCGACAAGCTCTAACCCACACCAACGGTACTTTAAGTTGTGTTGATCACTGATTTATTACTCACATCTTCATCTTCATTGAAAGCTGCTGCTACGGAAAGGGTTTTTGGAGCAAGGGTTGGAATAGGCTCTTTAGGCTTCTGAAAAAAAAAACAGTGCAAAGGTAAAGTAAGCTACCCTTGGTATTTTAGTAAAATGAAGTCAACATCTTCACTGAAATACGCAACAGCAGGGGAAGAGGAAGTGTTTTTGTTATAGAAACAGGCAGATAACAATATAGAAACAAGCAGATAACATTTTCTCCCTAATGAAAAAGGAAAACAGCTGCTATTTGGGAGAGACACTCTGAACAGCAGACTGAGCCCTCTCATTACAATTTCCCATAAGCAAGCCGTAACTTTCTTGCACACTGCAGGCATATGCAGCCACTGGAGCTTGACATGAGCAACTAAATCAGAACCCGAGTAAGTTGTGATATTCAGAATTTCACTATGTCACTGTTTCCATTATTCTTTTGGAGTATTCTTATCCATCAATTCCAGGAAGATAAATATTTCGTCTTTTAACAAGATAACAGCTTTCCTGCTTAAAACAAGTCAGTGGCTCAGAGAAGGCAGCTTTGTCCATTTTTCTGAAGTCTGAGCTGACCCGTTTGCACTCAGACCCCTGAATGTGCCAGTCTGCAGTTCCCGCCCGTATCAAAGTAACAGAACATTCTCTTCATTTTCTGCAGATCTCTAAAATGCTGGCATTGCAGGTGCAAGCCTTTCATAATTACAGTCTGAATTTCATCCAGACAAGTATCTATAACATATCCATCACAGCGCTATGTGGGAAGTGTAAATTAACTGTACTAAACAGAGAAGCAGCATCTGACTTGTCCTTGCCCAAGCTAGCAGAGGACTACTTCGATAGTAACATGCATCAGATTCATACCCAAACAAGTGCAAAGATAACTTCCACTGGACAATAAAGGGGATCAGAATTCTTAGAAACCTATGTAACAAAGCCTCATCTCTTGCATAGAGTATAAATGAATCACACTAACCTTGTAAAGAACAGGCAAAGTCATGAAACATAAACTATACCTCCCCAAAGATCTATGGAGTGGAAGATGGCTTATTAAACCACATAGGAAAGTACTAGTTTTCCTGTAGCTTTAAGCAGGCTATGCAATGAAGCTCCCAGCACTCATTTCAAAGTAGCCTGTATAGTTTAACAAGCCTGCTCATTTCCCACAGGAAATTATTCCAGACCTATCAAATCTCATTACAAGATTATTCTGTACGGTCAAAGATCTACAGTTTATTTCAATCAAGTCTTATGCTTCCTGAGACAAATGACCTGGTATTAATTGTCTTGAAATACTTACACAGGCATGAACAGCTGGCCCGGCAATGCTTTCTTAAATGTTACCCAAGTTAACCTCGTGTAATTCAAGGTTTTCCTTTTGCAAGGAAGCATCCCCTTTTGCCTCAGTTTCACTAAAATTAAAAACCCTCAGATAACTTACATTTGCTCCCAGTTTGATGGATATTGCAGATGCCTTCTTGGTTGTCTGACTGCCTATGGAAAATCCAAACTTGGACATTTTGGCAGGAGCAGGCTTTGTGGTGAAGTCTTCAGCTTCTTCATTAGCTGCCCGTTTCTCTGCGCTGCGACTCGAACTTTCTCCTCCATTACTGGAAGAAACAGTCTTAGTTTTCACAGGTTTTTCTGCCTCTTCTTCAGGTCCTGGTGAAGTCGAAACAACTTACCAAGATGAGCTATTTTTACTGAGCAGATTGATGGGAGCAGCAACCTCAAAAAGCATTATATTTTGGGTGCAATAGGTAAGGTGTTTTTAGTGACAGCAGTTTCCACCAATGTACATCTAGTGGACAGCAAAACACAAAGAGAAGAAGAAACTGCAAATACTCCACTACTTGTAAAGAATTTCTTGTGTATGAGCCAGGAAAACAATCTTGAAGCACCATCTCTTTATTTAGTATGGAAGTCAAAGTTCACGTAGTAAATTAAAGGTAGATGACTAAATCTTTTTAGGGTTTAAGTTACCATAGATAAGCTTTCATAATTGGAATCCCAATTCCAAATCTAGAGTAGATAATCTAAGCTACAATTAATTCTACTGAATTTATAAAAAAACATGTCCATGCCAGTCTCTAGGCTTGTCTGGCACAACTCTAAAATCATGGAAGTGACTACAGTGAGGCCGGATTTCTCAGTCATGTTTCAAGTCACTGCTTGTCCGCATCTCATCTGTAATATATCTGCCAAGCTCTGTTTGAGGAGGGAATCAGCACTAGAAAAACATATATATAGATTTCATCTTTTCTGGTTTTGTTTAAAGTCATGGAAAACATAGCAGCTGAAAAATGATCCACAGAGAAAAAAAAAACACCACTCAAATCATGTTTTCATTCCTATACACTTGGCTTCAGCTACACCAAGGGACAAAGGTGTCCCCAGTAAACTCATTCTAAACATAGCAAATGCTACATTTCTCTGCTGCTGCAATAAGCAAATCATTGCAGTAGCAGAAGGGGGTTAAATGCAGTGGGGAATGGACAGACAAGTGCTCATGCTATCAGTCTAAGAAAAACTGGAGCTAGTACCCGTTCCCCGTTGTACCAAGTGGAGAAGAGGACCCTCCATGCACAGCAAATTCAGACCATCAGGGAAGAAAGCTCTTTGTGCTGCTTTCTAACAGCAAAAACCTACTTAGTAAGATAGAGCAGTAGGAGAGTAGCTAGTCTGAACTCAGGGTCAACAAGATTGTAGCTCTGAGAAAAAAAAAAAGGAAACAAACAAGAGGAGAAAGAAAAACTTGGGACACCATCTATACATACTTTTCTACTATTTCCCAAATCATAAGCAACAGAATATAACCTTTCTACCTCACTCTACCAGCTAGCAACATAAGAAGTGATTTGAACGAAGACTGATTAATCACCTTTGGAAACATAGCAGATCACAGTAAAAACTCCAACAAAACACAAAACCAAAACAAACCACCCAAAATCCAGCCTGCAATCAATTTCACTATTAAAAAATGGTACTCATCTGCACCACTAGAAATCTGTCACAGAAAATATTGATATAAAAGTGCCAAACAAAGGAAGAAAGAAAAAAGCAAAATTTACACAAGTGATCTTGGGTACTGGTTGTTTTCTTAGCACAGTTTCCAAAACAGCAGTCTGCAGTCCATTAAATCACATTAAAAGAATATTCAATTGCAAGTCCAGCCTACAGCACTAGAGACTCTAAGGTGATTCAAGGGCAGGTAGACGATTCACTGCCCTTAGAGGCACTGGGAGAGTGGGCCTAAAAGTCATCTTTTTCATAAGATAAAATAACAGCAGCCCATATCTCAGGGCACACTGTACCAGTGGAGGTTCCTATGCTAATGCTAGTTTGAAGCTAGTTAAACTACAGCTTACTTGTTCGGCTGCAAATTCCAGAATATTGCTAAGCCCGAGATGAAGCCAAATACAATCTACCCGCATCTGTTTTCTTACCAAAATAATAAATAGCTTCTCTTTCAAAACCAGCTCCTATCTCCACTGCATTCTGAACGTTACTTCTATCAGGCTCCACTTAGGACAAACTGCAGACTGCTGAGAAAAATACTTGCTGAAGGAGCTATAAAGGGCATAGGACAATTGGGGTTACGTGGGGAGAGAGTCATTGTGCCGTTCTATTTCTGCAGGGAACAGAAAAGCAGGCCTGTATTACCCATTAATCAGGCATCTCCCATGCCAATGCATATGTATTTTCAAGACATTAAGGCTTCTTTATAATTTCCTAGAGATGTTAAGGAGGTGATGCTTTACCTGTGGAAAACACCAGTACTATTTAAAAACTAGTCTGACTAAGTGCTCTTTCCATGGATCATGGCAATAAGAAGCTGTCCTACTTCACAGATGAGTTTCAATAAAACTATGTAAGGGGATGTCCTGGGTTCAGCAGTAGCAGTCATTTTTCTCCTTCTTGGTAACTGGTGCAGTGCTGTGTTTTGACTTTCAGCTGGGAACGGAGCTGAAAAACAATGATGTTTTGGTTTGGCCAAGGACTTTGTGGGCCTCATGCTCTGCCAGGGAGGAGGGAAGCTGGGAGGAAGCAGAGACAGGACACCTGACCCAAACTGACCAAAGAGGTATTCCATACCACAGCACGTCATGCCCTGGATGTAACTGGGAGAGTGACCCGGAAGGGGGCTAGAGAGAGTGGACTGCAGGGTTGGAGGAGGTATCGGTCGGTGCTTGATCGGGCTGGGGGGCAAGTTATTGGTCGCCTGGTGATGGGGTGTTGTATTCTCTTCCCTTGTTATTTCCTTTATCATTACTATTATTGGTGGCAGCAGTAGTGATCTGTGTTATACCTTAGTTACTAAACTGTTCTTATCTCAACCCGTGGGAGTTGCATTCTTTTTGATTCTCCTCTCCGTCCCTCCAAGAGTAGGGGGAGGGCAAGAAGGGGGGGGAGTGAGTTAACAAGCTGTTTGGTTGAGTTAAACCACAACAGGGGACAACTTTCACTGTCTAGGTGATTTAAGTGGCAAAGACTGACAGTGCCCCATGGAGTGTGACCACTGGTGGCAGCAGGAACAAACCAGCCACAACTAAGTTAACTTTGGCTTTTGCCAAGATCAGTGGGGTCTACGTTAAACACTCTAAATTGCTTTCCAGAATCATCAGGGAGTAAGTATCCCTCCTTAGATCTAATGGACCAGAATTCATTAAGACCATGTTCCAGCACACCAAAAAAGCAGACAAAGTGGTATGGGTAACTGACATAATGATACTGTCCAGTTGCTGTATTACTAATAAAAAAAAATAAAATTGAAAAGAACACATATAAAAAACCCCATTAAAGCCAAGAGAGAACCAAAAGTCAAGAAACTACAAAAAAATTAGTATTATTGTTCATGTTTTAGTGATTATAAAAAATAACATTAACTGTTGAGCCTATACTAATCGATACACAATCCTGTTTTAAGTTTTCAACAGATCAGATGCTCTCTCCGCCTACAGATATACTTAAAAACCCAAAACAAACAAAACCCAGAGAAGGGGCATGAGGATGATGCCCCGCACCTCCCATACAAAGACAGGCTAAGAAAATTGGTTCTGTTCAGCCTGGAGAAGAGAAGGCTGCAGAGACCTCATAGCAGCCTTCCAGTACCTGAAGGGAGCTACAAGGATGACAGAGAGGGACTCTTTATGAGGGACTGCAGTGACAGGATAACGGGTAATGGGTTCAAACAGGGGAAGTTCAGCTTAGATATAAGGAAAAAGTTCTTTACTGTGAGGGTGGTGAGGCACTGGAACAGGTTACCCTGATCTTAAGGTCCTTGCAAGCCCTAAACATTCTAAACCAAAACAATAAACCCCCCCCAAACCCTTAATATTTGCAATTTAGATTTTAAGTTGGGGAAAGGAAGGAAAGAAACATTATCAAAAATTCCAGATCTCATAGTAAGTCATATGGAAAATGACAGGAATGTGCAGTCATAGTATAAATACTATAAAACCAAACAGAAAACTTGCACATTGATGCCAAGCAAAAAAAGCAAGATGCTTAAAACGACACAAATAAGAAATATTCACCGTACTCATTTTTAAAAGGTACCACAGCTGCTAAACGCTGGTCCTTAAGGCGTTGTTTTCATCCTTGCCAACAGCAATAACCAGATTTCTCTCAATACACGGCGTAAGTACTCCGTGTATCTTTATTTTATTTTTAATTTATTTTTCGGAAGGAAAGAAATAAGGCAAGGAGGAACCATCCCCTTTTCTAAAAAGATCCTCTACGGCTCAGGCTAATCCTCAAGCCTGTGGGAGGGCAGGGCCAATCCTTAGCTTTTCCCCCAGCGTAGCCCCCTGAGGCCGGGCCACCCCCTCTACCCGCTATTGTCCGCCCCAGGCCCATACCAGGATTCCCCCACCCCTGGGGAACCAGCCCGGGCACCCGCCCACCCCGCAGGTACGCGGCGAGAGGCACTACATGTTCACCTCCTGCGGGCTGCTGCCGATTCGCCTTCGCCCCCTCAGCTCCGCCGTCCGCCATTTTCCCCGCCTCCGCCTCCCGCGCTGCGCAAGCGCACTCGCACCGCCGCGGCGGTCCCCACTGCCCCCTCCCACCGGCCCCACCCTCCAACGCGCAGCTGGAATGACACAGACGGAAGTTGCGCTTTCTCCGCCGGCAGGAAAAGCGAGAACGCGGGAGCGGGTGCGGCGCCTGCTGAGTCTGAGTTAAAGGGGTATTGAAATAAAGAAATATAGGCTGAAATATAATCTATTATAAGTAAGTAAAATAATTCTGCTTAGTGATCATCCTTGTAGAAAATAAATTATCGTAGTTGACGTAGTTCTAGGACTTTGTAACTGAAACTGATGTGGCCTATTGTGTACAAGGGGGTTAGACAAAATGTACAGGGGGGTTGTCAAAATGTACAGGGGCGTACTGCTTAAGCCATAGCTGGTTTAACGAGCTCAGCAGATGTCTTATCAGACAAATACCAGAACAAAACCTCCTAGTGAGGAGAATGGGGGGTTGTACAAGGAGTACTGCTTAAATCATGGCTGGCTTGACAAGCCCAGCAGTTGCCTTATCAGACAGTACTAAGATAAGGCTTCCTAGCGAAGGGAATAGCCCATTAAACCAGCTAGACATGGACCAGACCCATCCAGCTCCTAAAGAGCATGCGTGAGGACCAGAGGTAAAAAGTTCAAGCCTGAGGAAGACTCGTTTACTTCATCTTGAAGACTCCTACCCACAAGAGGATGACTACTTACTTCATCTGAAGACCCCTGCCCAAGACCACCAGGAGGCACTGCGCATGTGTGGAGCGCCTTTTAGCTCATTGTAATACGAAGTGGGGATAGAATATGAATATGTATAGGCGTATTGTGCGACCTAATACCTATGTATGACTTTACAGGATAAATGTAAAAGGAAAACGGCACTGAGGCACGCATGCCTTTTGGAGGACCAATCCCCCGTGCGTCTTCAGCTGAATAAAGCATACCTACTTTACAACTTTAACCAAGTTGTGGAGTCTATTCCGCTATCAGTAACCTTACACAAAATTTATGGTAAGCAAAACAAACTAGCAGCTGTTCAGGATGAGTTGTATCTGAGTTACCTGATAAGTAGAAGGATGGGGAGAAATCATTCAATTATGTCAGTGGTGGTACTAAACTAATATAAAGCTGGCATAAGCATTTATCTACTGTGCATGCTTCAGAGGCTGCCAGGACGAAAGTTCAAGGAACAGCAAAGTAATTAAGATTGTTCGAAGAAATAAACGACCCCTAAAGACCACTACCACATTTTTGTGCACATGCGGGAGAAACCTTCTAGGAGAATATCATCATCATCATCATCATCATCATCATCATCATCATGGCTTGACTTCGCGAACGAAGACTTGGGAAGGGCTTTACCCACGCTTACTACAAGTGCACTGATGACTAAGAAGGCCAGTGTGGGATAGGCAAATCCGGCTACAAAAAGCACAGCAGAAGGTCTCCTTGGGTGGTACAGGTGGGGCACGATTCTTCCTGTGTTGTCTTTTCTCCTCGAGACTAGTTCCTCGTGAGCTCTCAAAGGAGTCAGCAGCATTATGTATGGTGTGCCTCTAAGTCTCCTGATTGGAGGCCAAGATGGACCACTGATGGTAGTCAATATGGCCGAGGCTAAGGTATTGTTTCAGGGAGTCCTTATATCTCTTCTTTGGGGCACCTGTCTTGCGGCTACTGGTGGCAAGTTCACCGTAAAACAATCTTGGGGAGGCGGTGGTCCTTCATCCCAGAGACGTGCCCTGCCTACCACAGCTGCAATTTCAGCAATATGGCCTCGATGCTGGTGACCCCTGCCTGTTTGAGGACAGTGACATTAGACACATAGTCAGTCCAATGGATGTTTAGAATTGTACAGAGGCAGCGCTGATGAAAG